CCGGTTCCTCTGTCGAACCCAGGGCGTTCATACAGGCATGGCCGTTGAGCTCACAGTTCAGAATTATTATTTCGCGTTCCTGTTCGTTCAGCTATTTCTGGTCGTCGCAATCTCGTCCAGTTTCTCGACAATTATCAGCAACGTCACGAATGTCACAAGCTGGCCTCAACTGCTTGCGGAGAACATTCCTCTTTCCAGCAATTATTTCTTTTCATACATGATTCTTCAGGCGATGTCGGTGAGTGCTGGTGCGTTGGTCCAGGTCGTGAACTTAGTAAGCTGGTTTATCCTTGGACCCTTGCTCGACACGACGGCCCGGACAAAATGGGCCCGGACTACGAATTTGAGCCAGATGCAGTGGGGAACTTTCTTCCCGGTGTACACCACACTGGCATCCATAGGTATGTCTCTGTTTGCTTTGCTATTGCCTCTTTTCTTTTTTGACACGACTGATAGCACTGACGGTTGATCTATAGGACTGATTTACTGTGTTATCTCGCCTCTCATCCTTGTGTTCAATGTAATCACGTTCGGCTTATTTTGGTTTGTTTACCGGTATAACACGCTATATGTCACCAAATTTCGCTTTGACACCGGTGGGTTGCTTTTCCCTAAGGCGATCAACCAGTTGTTCACGGGCATATATTTTATGGAAGTCTGCTTAATCGGTCTGTTCTTTTTGGTTCGCGACGTGCAAGGCACGGTTGCGTGCAAAGGCCAAGCCATTTGTATGATTGTCGTTCTTGTCCTCACAGTCGGGTATCAACTTCTGCTGAATGATGCCTTCGGCCCCCTGATCCGTTATCTACCAATCACTTTGGAGGATGAAGCGGTGCGTCGTGATGAGGAATTTGAGCGTGCTCAACGTGCCCGGCTTGGATTGCTTCAAGATGATGAATTGAACTCTGACAAAGGTCAACTGTCTGACCACGAAGAACATCGGGGCCGTCAGACGGCTCGAGGAACTCATGATATCGAGCTGAAGGATATTGAAGCTAGCATGGAACGACGTACTGAATCCCAGGCTAGGCGACCTAGTCTCGGGCCTAAGCGTCAGTCGTGGGCTGACAGGTCTTCACGGGGACGGTCGAAGTATTTCGGGGCCAACTCCGACAGCTCGGTCCCGACGGTGCAGCGGATTCGCGAGAAAGTAGCAGAGGATGCTGAGGCCCAAGCCCCTCCCACCAATCAAGTGGGCCCAGCACTTTTTGCTGGTATCCATGACGAGCTGGAAGATCTCACGCCGGAAGAACGTGACCAGCTAGTTCAGCGAGCCTTCCAGCACGATGCGCTGCGAGCTAAACGTCCCGTGATCTGGATTCCCCGGGACGATCTCGGAGTCAGTGATGACGAAGTGTACCGGACTCAGCGGTTCAGCAAGCACATCTGGATCAGCAACGAGTACCAGGCATTGGACGGCAAGTGCCGCACGATCTTTAGTCGCAGTCCGCCGGACTTTTCGGAAGTGGATCTCATCCAGTTATGAGTACGGTATTTAGAATCTTAGAACATCGACCACCAAGCTTGTGGTTAGCTACGACCCTGCATGATGATTTGACTGATTTAGCTTTTGTTCCCACTGGCATGGGTTGGCGTTCAACGTGTACATGTACATAGATAAAACTAATTGATTGACCTTTCTTCATGAAACAATGAAAGCCTCTTCGATGACCCGGACTAATCCGGCGCTAAATTTCAACTGTATTCAGCAGCAACAAATCAAGATTGGTGGTATATTCGTCCGTGGGCGAAGCACTATGATTTCCAATATGTTCAGTCCAGGCCGAGGGCTCCGCCCCATCAAGTGGTGGATCGTTGTCCATGGGTGATGCAAATGCTCCAGAAGGCTAAATAACTACTTGGAACTTGGCTTCTCCCTGGGAATGCTTGACCATTCCAAGGGTCACACTATGGAACAGATTAATAAACAATATACTCCGTATGACTCGCGGGAATCCCCGATCACTGCCAACCTCGGTCTCCAGTTCTGCCGCTACGAGCGCCGTAAGCGAGGGCACTAGCAGTTTCAGATGGGAATTATCAAAAGTCACGGAAGTACTAAACGTTGGGTATGTACATAGCAGCAATTAGAGGCGATATGTTGAATTCCCGGAGAAGTCCCGAACTCGCGGTTAGATTCTACTATCTCGGTTATTTAAGCATAGATATCCCTATTCATTCCCATTCAGGATCCATGACAATTACACGCCTCTCACTCATCGAAAAATGTTTTCAAGAAGGGGGGAAGTCCGAATTCGTCGGATGAGCCTCCCCGAACGACGGTGAGAACCGAGTACCGAAACCACGACGCAAATTGAATTCCTTAGTAGCTTTGTAGAAGAATCTGTTGGAACCGATCCTCGACCGCAATCTACAACCAATGACAACATTCTTCAAGCCTCGTTACGAGTAGCGAAGAAGCTACCTAACTCGATAGCTTACTAGTCTAGGCCCCCCAGTCAATTGAACGCCCATGGGGCGGCGACCCACCGGCACTTCCGATGATGTGGATTCCCACGCACCGCGGATGTCGTTTTCTTTCAATCGTTGTTTAATCGTCTTGATTGGTCTTCTTGAACGTTGGACTGTCATCGTCGTAATCTCTCTTTGGGTTTCACTTTTCACATGATCTCCCCTTTAGTGGGATAGCAATTCCAAATTTAGTATCTTATTCAACCCGTTTCTAACATACCGCATTGATACATAACAGGGTCGGTAATTGAAAGTAGGGGAACTGTTGCTGTCTTAAGTCCCTACAGTTCGGAGCCCCGGTTATCTATGATGTGGGTGTGGTTAGATAGTAAGGAATCAAGGATCTTTTCTAATTGAGTAGCTTTGATAGGGTAAGAGTTTTCTGTGCATCGTTATTTCGACTTCCCCTTGAGCAATTTTTAAGATTCCACAGTAACAAAATGACTATCCGACAATTCTTATATAGTTGTAACCTTTTGCTCGGTCGTATATACAAATTCCAGATGATTCCTTATAGGTTTTGTCTACTTCATCTTAAATTGGGTGGTCATAAAACTCAACTCGGCAGTTAAGCAAAGCCTTGGAAGACTAGAGATTGTCATATATAACACCCCGACGTGTTTGTGACTTCTTAAAAATAATATTTGGTTACGTGTTTGGGATGTGATAATCTCTTCTTAGTTCATTGATTGTTTCTATTAGATCTGATCTAAAAGACGGCATGTCCTCCAAGTCCCAAACTCAGCGGGCTTCATATCACCTCTACATCCAATATCCGATGAATCGGAGATGTTGTAACTGCCGGGTTTCATACTCGCCTTTCTTCAGGTCGGAGAGACCATCCCACTAAGCCTATCCTACAGTCGCCCTGCTCTCCCAGAATGCATCTTAAGGGTGCCCTCGAAGATACTGATAAGTCAACAAAAGAGGCCAAGCAGATTATATCATACCAAGAGACAATCAATAGTGGCTTCCCGCAGTACGTGAGCAAGTGATCATGGGAGTTGTCCGTTTGAGATTGGATGCAGAATCGAAGCGCCGTGCTCAATTCAAGGCAATGGTATGTGAATTTCATGATTTGTCTTCTTTATTTTTAGTATAACAGGTACTTCGTCCGTTACTCGTCAATGAGTATGCTCATAGTATGCTCTGCCTAATGTAGGATAAGGGATTTGCGCGATCCCTAATGTAGAAAGACCAAGCGAGCGAAAAATAATGATGATTGAATTGATGTCTAGACATCCTGGTATCTAAAATCTATCTATCGCGTAGTAAGATTTTTTATATGAGATATCTTATACGAAGGATCTTAAGAACAAATGTTTTGGGTGGTGCAATTATGCGACTTGCTATAATGGGAAGCACTTGTGAATGTGTTTCTGCGGCTGGCCTGGTCTTTGAGAATGAATTAGCTCTACAAGGCTCGTGGACTTTAACAATGATCTCGCTTCCCTTTATTGTTCTTCTCCCTCTTTCCTTCTCTTCTCTTTTCTTCTTTCCCAGTCTCGCTTCCTGTTTACCCTGAGTTTGAGGAAACGAACGTTGCCAAGTCGATAATTGGCTCAATTATCTGTAACCTTTCTAGTATTACCTTTATTTTGGATCATCCAAAACACCCTGCTGCTACCAGTCTTTCCTTCGTCTTCAAACATTCCCAAACGATAGTGGGGCAAGGCCAGCCAAGTGGCTTTGAAGAGAGTCAGTAGAGAAGAGACGGACATCTAAGTTATGGCAGGTGGATAACCTTAGGCTGTGCAGCTATCCAACGTCAAGATATGATGATGCACGATTTGCGACGTCGCGATAGACCAACTGCTATTTACCAGTTCGACCAATTGGCATACGCTAAGATATGACGCAGCCCTGATTGATCTTGGATCCGACTCCATGACAAATGTTATGCTGAGCATAGAGCCAATATTTCAGCAGGGTTAGTGAAGCTCTCTCCATCCTTTATTCACCGTTGACGCTTCAACACGGACCGCCGATAGCATTTTCCAATCAGACCCCTCATATACGCCAAGAGAGGGGCTAGCAGAAGATATGCTTAAGCAAGCAGATCAGCTTACGCACCCGTAAAACTGGTGAACTGTATCCCGGGGCTAATGCAATGATTTGCCGGAGTCAGATGGAATCGGAAATAATGTGATCATTTGGGAGCTGAAAGCTACAGCCTTATAGGGACGGATTCGACGGAATAACGCCGTAGAGGCAATCCAGGCAATTGAAACAAAAACAAAAGCTGTTTTATATGCTCGCCAATGGGCAGACCTTATTGCAGGCGTACCTATATCGGTTACTTTGTAAGTACAGCGTAACTTGCTTTGTATTCTATAATCCATTTCTTTCCTTAACATAGAGCAGACGGTACTTTTACAGACAGCCAGGCGGGTCGGTTATCGTTGCCACAAATTGAGCCCTTGTTTATATATTGCCCTTTTTCTCTTAAGGATTTCTCATTATTAACATCATTATCCACCGTTGGCTTGTCAACTACCCAATCGTCTCTCTCTCGCTCTCTCTCTCTCTTTTTTTTTTTTTTTTTTTTTTTTTTGTACTTTGTTCTCTTATGCACGCTAGGAATAAGCCGGGTTTGGTGCGAAATACAAAACGCTGCAATGGCGCCAATATCCCTTTCTACGAGCAAACCGGTATGATCTCAGTGGTGGCCGAAATGGGAAATACTGCACGTGTGCCTTGGTATGAGATGGGATGATGCTTGCATTGTGAGAGAGACGAAGACTGCTGCACCTTCCCTGTCAGTCCCTCGACTCCCTTGTAGTCGACTTGGGTAGAAACAATTGAGCAACATGCCGATTGGCTTGTGGAGCCTATGTTTTCCGTGGCCTGCAGTCTAAATCATGTCCCACTGTGGATCTGGACTGTAGCCTTCGCCCGTCAATATCTGAGGTCCTTGCACTATGATTCATAATGCAAATTACTGTACCAGTCCGCCCGCGGAGGAAATGTCTCAACTGCGCCCCGGAGTCCTGATGAGACACTGTTTATTTATGCATTTGTTGGTAATCTTTATTATTCTTTTCTCTTCCGTCGTCTTCGGGTTCCTCCCAGCAGCGGGTTTTAGGGGTTGCCGGAATTCACAGAACGACTTTCCCGGAGTTTCACCCCGTGGCAGATTGATTGCTGTTGAACTGTTCGGAGTGAACTCCTCCGAGTCTTTTATATATGGATCTCCCACATGCACTGTTACACTATTACGCATATAAATATCTTTTACGTCGAGAAAGAGGGCGAGAGAGACAGCCAAACGCTGTATGACCTTGCTTCACCGCGCCGGTTGATTTGGGAAGGTAGTTATCGGTGTAGGCTCACTCACGGATTCCATACCCAGTGTGGCAGGTCAAGTCCTAACGGCAAGGGAGAGAGGATGACCTCTTGATTTGACTGAATGATAATTACGAGTCAAAAGCAAACTTTTAGCGTTCCATTTCGACCGGACGTTTAGCTTTGAAAATAGTAGGCGCTAAGGCAGGCAAAGGGACTCCACTCGACCGAGCACATGCTTGGGCGAGTGGCTGTGATGGGTTTGCCAGACAGTCTTAGCCTCTTACCCTTGAATCGGGACGGACCAGGGTGGTAAAATGGACAAATCGGGTCACAAAACGTGCGTGGACTAAGACGATCATGGGAATAGACTAATATCGGTTATTAAAGCTATCTCCTATCGGGTCGCTTTTTAGTGGTCAATGCATAGGAAGGTAAGCGGACCCCGTAATAACCATACGTCAATACGGCCGGGACTAACGTTTTAGCCGGGGAGGCTAGTCTACTTTGAGCTCCGCTCCAGACTCGTGATGTCGAGGTACAGCTGCAGTATCTCCCTCTTCTCTCTTTCTCTCTGTACTATCACCCTGAACTGAAAGGGCTGGGAATTTTAAAACCCAGAAAAAAAAGAAAAACGAAAAAAAGGAAATTTTTTTCGCCACTACCTACATAGTTCACTGCATGCTAGTCAGTGTCAGATCTCCACTCCGTGTTGAATTTGATTCCCATATCATAAGCTACCGACCTCTTGTCTTTTTCCTTCTTTTGCCTTTTCTCGCGCATTTCATGATGCTCGTTTCCCACATCTAACATCCCCTCTCCCCGCTTCATCATCTCCAAGAATCCTTTCTCCCTAGTAAATTCCATTCCACATTGAGTTAATCCATCATGAGGTGAGTAGAAGCTTCCTTCCCAGCTCAATGGTTGCCTGACTAACTGTCCCCACCTCTCAAGGTTCGGAGAGCATCTCCGATCGTCGATGATCAAGGAGTACTACTGGTACTACATCGCCTACGATGAATTGAAAAGAGCTCTGAGGACCGACTTTGTCGCCGAACCAGTTCCTTCATTTTCAAAACGCGATCGCAAGCCATGGACGGAAGAGGACGAGAAACACTTCGTGTCACTGCTGGAAGGTGAACTGGACAAAGTGTTTAACTTTCAGCGCATTAAAAGCGAGGAAATTGTCCGTCGCATCCAGTCGAGTGAGAAGGAAGTCAATGATGTGGTCTCTCGCCTAGAGTCGGCGACTGCGTCGGGATCGCGCCGTCTCAGCGTCCGTTCTAACATTCGTCCTCCGTCCGATGAGGATTTCTTAGCCCTTGAGCAGGTCTTGAGTGACATCATCGCCGACGTCCATGATTTGGCCAAATTTACCCAGCTCAACTACACTGGCTTTCAGAAAATTATAAAGAAACACGATGTATGTGCTGGCTCATTATTTACTGTTGACGTCTCCAATTTTTTTTTTAAAATCTTTATTTTTTATTTTTTTATTTTTTTATTTTATTTTTTCCTGTGTTGGCCCTAGCGTCTGTGCATACGAACTTCAAGCTGACCTTTCCCAATAGAAAGAAACCGGCTGGCATCTCAAGCCAGTTTTTGCGGCACGACTTAAAGCCAAGCCTTTCTTCAAAGATAATTATGATGCGTTCGTGGTGAAGTTGTCCAAGCTTTACGATCTGGTTCGCACCAAAGGAAACCCGGTTAAGGGAGACTCTTCCGCCGGTGGTACACAGCAAAACTTCGTTCGCCAAACGACTAAATATTGGGTTCATCCTGATAATATCACCGAGCTGAAACTCATCATTCTTAAGGTATGTTCTTGCACGTTCACTTTAATGATCAGCGCTGACCAAAGCAGCACCTTCCCGTGCTCGTCTTCAACCCTCAGAAGGAGTTCGAGGAAGAGGACACTGCTATCACCTCTATCTACTACGATAACCCGGACACATGGGAGCTATACCAAGGACGGTTGAAGAAGACGGAAGGAGCCGAAGCTATCCGACTGCGCTGGTACGGTGGCATGAAGAGTGACCAGATTTTCGTCGAGCGAAAGACTCATCGCGAGGATTGGACAGGAGAGAAGTCGGTCAAAGCCCGTTTCTCCCTCAAGGAAAAGAATGTCAATTCTTACCTGGCAGGTGCGCTGACAACAGAGACTATTTTCGACAAGATGAGAAAGGAGGGTAAAAAGAGTGAAGACGAAATCAACAATTTGGAACAGCTAGCCCAAGAGATCCAATACCGGGTCATCACACGACAGCTGAAGCCTGTCACTCGGACCTTCTACCATCGAACTGCCTTCCAGTTGCCAGGTGACGCCCGAGTCCGTATATCGCTCGATACTGAGTTGACCATGGTTCGCGAGGATAACCTCGATGGTCACCGCAGAGCCGGAGACAACTGGCGCCGAATGGACATCGGTGTCGATTTTCCTTTCTCCCAGTTGCCCCCGGAAGACGTGGAGCGGTTTCCTTATGCCGTCCTCGAAGTGAAACTTCAGACCCAGGCCGGTCAAGAGCCCCCTCAATGGATCAGGGACTTAACCGCGAGTCACTTAGTAGAAGCGGTTCCCAAGTTCAGCAAGTTCATCCACGGTACAGCGACACTTTTCCCCGATCGCATCAACCTCCTTCCGTTCTGGATGCCACAGATGGACGTGGACATTCGAAAGCCCGCAATGGGCCGGTTTGGTATTGAACGACCGCTAGCCAGTACTTCCCTATCAGCCAATGAGACACCCGAAGACGAGTATGACTCGGACGACGACGAATTGGATGACAGACAAGGGCTCGCTAATGGCGATCGGAGGGGTCCTCGCAATGACCTGTTTGCCGATTCAGACGGAAATACCTTGGATATAGAGGAACGCATCGCCGCCCAGCCGCTTCCGGGAGACGAAGACTACCCATTGTATGACTCGGACGAAGAGGATACTATCGATTCAGACGAACTGGAAGAGGCGCGACGAGTCGGCGGAATGCATTATTACAAACAGTTGGCCAAATACTACTCCCAGCAAGCTGGAAGTGCTGTAGTGTCTGGGCTTATAGCACTCATTCCCCGACCAAGGCCAACCAATTTGCCGCCCCCAGAACAAAGGGGAATTGCTGTCATGGGAAACAAGCGGACCGTGAAGCGATTCATCGCTCCGAAGGGAAAGCGTAAGTCTATACAAACCCCGTCGTTATTGAGGGAGATCTAATGTATCTTAGGTATCCACGTCCCGGTCCGTGTCGAGCCCAAAGTCTACTTTGCCGCGGAGCGAACCTTCCTCTCATGGCTTGAATTCTCGATTCTTCTGGGTACTATCGCAGCCACCCTACTGAACTTTGGCAACGATTACATCACATTCGCATCTTCCTGGGCGTTTACCATCCTTGCAGCCCTGGCCCTCCTGTACAGTCTCGTGCTCTACATCTGGCGAGTGGATAAAATCCGCAAGCGCCGCGACGTCAAGCGGGTCTACTACGAGAAATGGGGACCCACCATCGTTGGCGTTGGTCTCGCGGTCGTCCTGCTGGTAAACTTTATCCTACGAGCACGTCAGACCGGATTTACCGCGAGGGATGACTACGACTACCCAGGAAATGGCCAAGGTTCTGACTCAGGAGAATTATGATGTCCTCTCGAACTTACTCGCTACCTCTCTTAGTTTGCTTTCCTACTTACCTTGACCTTGTCATTTTGGGATTACCCATACGCGCCAAATTGGCACCTGTGTTTATACGCGTTCTGATTAGAAGTCGATGAGCAATCACGGATACCTCAGTTTATGGATATGGATGTACTGTATAAAAGCATGATTATGAACCCATTCAGTCCAGTGAATAGTTGAATAGTGAATAGTGACAAGTGACAATCAATGAAAGTGAATACGTTCGTCACAATTCATCCTCCCGGTATTCTGAAAAAGACTCTCCCTGAAATACACCACTACCTTAGAATTAGTCTTACTAGAAATTAAAGAAGAATGTATACTTTCTTACAACGACGAAAACAATGCACGAACAGAATACAACCATAACATCATATTACATCCAACATTCCAATCATAATCGTAATGATAGGTAACAATAGATAAGGTAGGTTCAACTATAGTTACTCACGGGTTATAATCCACAACAGGGATAACAGTATCATCCAAGCTGACGGCATCCTTGTTTGACTCTTCCACACCTGAGTACTTATTCAACCAGCCCAGCACCTGTTGGTGCCAGACGAGGCTGTTTTCTTTGTTTTGGACCCTGTTTTTTTTTACCCCTTATCAGTATTCTTTCTTCTGGCTATTGTGGGGTGTTCTTGTATGTGTGTAGTTGACTTGATCAGGGAAGTAGGGTAGGCAAATGGGGCACATACCAGTGATTCTCATCCGGGAAGTTAAGGAACCGACTAGGGACACCGCGTTCCTGGAGGATATTGAAGAGAGAGAGACCCTCTGAGACGGGGAGACGGTAGTCGAGATCGCTGTGGATGATGAGCATTGGGGTGCTGAATTTGAGGATCCGTTCAGGAGCAGAGGGGTCCCAGCGACGGTAGTTTTCGCGGTTATCCCAGAATGTGCCGTTGAACTGTCTTTCGTTAGCATGGCTCGATTATTATGAGGCATCTCTGTTTAGGAATGAAGATAGTGGTTGGGATAAAGGGTTAAGTGGCTCACCTCGTGTTGCATGAACCACAGTTCTTCGGTCGAGACCTTGGCATCTGCGACGAATGTGCCGTCGTGGCTGACCAGCGCCTTGAATTTGCGGCCGAGATCGCTACCTTGGATCCAGTTGATCATGAAACCACCGTAGCTGGCGCCTGCGGCGACACCGTTGTCGGTGTCAATGAAGTCGAAGTTCTCGTTGACGTATTCCCAGCCTTTGACGAGGTCTTGGTAGGGATAGCCTCCTGTGGTGGTTTGTTAGCATGGATAGGAGTGAGAGATTTGAAATGGGTAGTTTAGTCATACCCCATTGGTTTTGGATGGCGTCCTGGAGGGCATCGCCGAAGCCACTGCTTCCGGTTGGGTTGGGGGCGACGACTACGTATCCCTGGTCGGCGAAGACCTTGGGGTTCCAGCGGGTGCTCCAGGAGTCGAGCCACGAGCTCTGGGGTCCACCGTGGATGTAGTAGAGAAGGGGGTAGGATTTGCTCTTGTCGAAGTTCTCGGGGTAAATAACAAAGGCTTGGATCTGGGATGATTGTTAGCGAGGACTGAAGAATAACTGGGTCGGGCGCACGTACCTTGGTCCAGTCACCATCATAGTAGAATTCGTCGACGATTTCAGGACCCAGGCCTTTCAGCTCAGGGTCAATCTTGTTGGCAGTGGCCAACGTCTTAATCACGCCCTTCTCGGGGCTAGCGATGTAGACGTTCCAGCTGGTCCAGATGGCACTCGCGGTAACCAGATAGGTGGAATCGGGCAATTGATAGAAAGCAGATACAACACCGCCGTCAGTGAAGTTCTTAGGCTTGTAGTCGTCGCCGGCATCTGCTGGGATAGAAAACAGACGGCTACGTCCTGCGTCCTCAACACCAATGATAAGATTGTCGTCATCTGCCCATTTCACGGAGTCGAGAGACCGGTCCCAGTCTGCTGCAAGGGAAGGAATAGTCTTCTCAGAGTCGACAGTGTACACGTACAATGTGCGGTGGTCTGCCTCGTAAGACTCATCGGCCATCTGCCAGTACGCAATCCTCTTGCTATCCGGCGAGAACACCGGGCTGCCGGCGTCACCCTTGACACCCTCGGGGGTACCGGGGCTATCGGGTCCATTGATTGGGACAGCGGTCTTCGATCCGTCATGGGGGACAAGGAAGATATACGCAGTGGTGTAGTTGGCACGGGGAATGTCATGTGCCTTGCTCTTGAAAGCAACCCACTTGCCGTCGGGGGAGAGGTCATAGTCCGAGGCGCCACCAAAAGGCGGGTAGGGGCTCTCAGCGTTCTTGACAGGGGAGACGAGGTTCTTGAGACCTCCATCAGCCTTGTAGGTAGCCTTGCCCTTGCCCTCCGACTTCTTCAAGGTGCCAGAGAACACAGCATTGAATCGGGTGGTGAGGTAGTAATCCCAGTGGCGCACGTAGATGCTGTCATAGATGCGAGCAGAGCTCAGAGGCTTTGCCACTAACTCTTCATTGTATGCTGTGCCATTTGCCCACGACTCGGCGTATGCGACGTAGCGTACATCGCCGGAGTCTGTGGTGACGACTTTGAAACCGGAGAATGAAGCTGGCAATGAAGCTGCTTTATATCTATGCGTCGAGTCAGCGATTGGTGCAAACGATCATTTGAGAAATAAGAGGCGCTACATACCCATTGGCGAAATCGGAGATGTCCGACACCCACAATTCTACACCTCCCGGAATGTCGGCATTGGTGCCATTGACATAGAGAATGGTGGAGTCATCCGAGCCCAGCCAGACAATCTCGGAGACATCGCTGTCATTCGTCAGGAGCTTGATATCGCCTGACTTGAGGTCCAGCAGGTTCCACTGCGAGGTAGTCTTGTGGGTCTCGAAGGAGTATTGCGATTGCGAGAACACCGCGACATCCTACGCAGATTGGGGTCAGTATTTGGCAACCAGATACCGGCTGGATCAGTGTCAATGCTTACACCAGAAGGGTTAGGGATCGCTTCCGATCTCCGTGGAGCGCTTATCAGGCCCCTGTCGCGTTCAGTTAGCAAACCAAATGCCCTGTGAAACATTTGAATGATCATTGCGACTTACTCAGGGTTGAGGGCCAACGCGGTCGAGGCAGTAGCAGCAACGGAGAGCCACCGGAGAGCTCCCATATTGAGTACCGACTTCATCTCGTATCTACAGTACGAAGATCCACGACAATTGGACCCCGAGAGAAACTGTGATACCGGAAGGGAGAGAAGTGTGGAATGATCCTCGACTGGGGGGGGATGACAACATGGCTGATTTATAGAGAGGGAATCGCACGGAATGTCTCCGCAATCCGCGATTAAGAACCTGCCCAATCGGGAGTGTATTGAAAGATCATGGTGACTAGTAACAAAGCCGCAATGCTGCCGACATCCCATGAATTGATACTAGTCATCGTGATTAGTGAGATAAACAGGCTGCAACGGAATGGGGTTCTCCACCACACTCGCGTGGTTGGTCTTGACTCCATTTCTTGGGTTACATGCCAAGGAACAATTCAGGACATATTCAGTTGGTTCCTCCGGTCAAGCCTCCCGTTGATCGGTTACTGCCGCCGGCGATAAGCGGGGTGGACTCACTGTATGTACTCCGTACTAGTATGTATCCATGTAAACTACTATGGACTGTCATCGATGGCGACAACTTGCGCTATCAGCACACCGACTCGTTCAATTAATTCCGATTTCTTGGCGCTTAATATATCAGATTGTATTAACGATTTATTTGACCATCATATTATCAATCGTCCGGACTCTACCCGGAAATGGCGTGACATTCAATTCATGACGCGATCGGCATCAAAACAAACATAAACAGAAAAACCCTCTAGTGTATGGTACAATAAACCGGACTCCGGAAAGCGATGGTAGAAGGAAAGTATAATAGGTACTATGCAATGCACTCCACATCGGAGATTAATCCCAGGAACCCCGACTAATATTCAAAATCATCGTCCACTCCCTTCTTACCCGCATTTTCCTTTGCGACCGCCTCCTGTTTCCGATACATCTCGGCTACTTGCCGCGTCGTCGTCGCTTGTTCCGGCTTCTTGTCCTCTCGTGGCTTGATGAAACGGGGGAAGCGGAGAGAAACGCCCTTGCCCCCGCCAGTCGTACCCACGAACTCATCGGCTGCAGCTTGATATCGCGGGCTGAGCGTCAAATCGGCTGTCTTCACTTCCCAGACCAGCCGGGGCTCAAACCAGACGTCAGGCTGATCCTTGGGAACCGTCGAGTGAGTGTAGAATGGCTTTGGTCGATCAATGACCAGGGGAGACAGCTCCTTGTGAAGCTCCTCGAGGTTGGCTTCCGAAAACCCAGTGCCAATGTTACAAATTGACTCGTACGTCTGTGTATTCGCGTTGTACGCCGCCAGAAGGAAAGCGCCATAGACGGAGGTACGCTTACCTCGTCCGTAGTATGCACCGAGAACGACGAGGTCAAGCGAGTCACCGACACCGCTAAGGTAATCCTTCTTAACCTACGCCCACTATTAGCTACACTGCAGAGGTATATGGATTCCGCGATACACACCTTGAGCCAGTTTCGACTCCGCTTACTTGGCTCGTAGCCACTTTCATCCGTGTCCAACATCTTCACCATCAGACCTTCGCACGATGCCTTGACACTGTCATCCAGTAACTCCTGAATCTCGTCTAGTACGTTGGTGTTACCAAACTGAGCGAACTGAAACTCGCCTTCCGTAACCTGGAATGATTCATGTAAAAGTTCTCGGCGTTCGCGAAGTGATTTCTTGACAGTAGGCTAGAGGTAGCTATAGTTAGCACACAGCCAATAGAATGATCAAGTTATCGACGTTACCTCTCCATTCAGAAACAAGAGGTCAAAGGCAAATACACAAACTTTGACCTTGACATCTTCTGCCTTCACATCTTTGCGTTTGCGGGTCATCAGCTGCTGGAAGGGCAGAACCTTCTTGTTCACCGTATCCCAAGCAACAGTCTCACAGTCCAAGACGAAGCTCTTCACGCCGTCTTTGATCCAGCCGTCGAGCTTAGCCAACACATCGGGGTATTTCTTCGACAGATCTTCTGAGTTACGAGAGAAAATCGCAGCGAGACCGTTGCCATCCTTCTGTAACGTATGTTGTGCCTCCGGGTAATTGTGGGTTGCGTCTGGTGCAACGTAGTGAATCTGTGCCCTCTCTCCGTCGTACTTGTACTCACACGTAAATTCCTTTCCTTCGAAACGGTCCAGTACTTCGGTGATGGATTTCGTCGGCTTAGCAAGCATGGGCTTAATCGGGATACCAGGCTGTAGCTTGCAAGCCTCGTGGAGCTTGGTCAGGCCGTTCTCAAGCATGGCAGGGATAATAATCTCGTAAGCGGGCAATTCGCTGTACACCGTCTTTAGGATAGCCTCGCCCTCAGCCAGCTTTTCAGGGGAAGGAGCTTTCTCTCCTTTGAGGGCGGCTTCATGAGTCACCACTGCTTGAGCAAGGGCGACAAGAACGGTCTTTTCAGCCAGCCCTAGTCTTAATTTACCTTCCAAAAATCTAACAATATACTTGGCCTCGCTGGGACCACCCTTGTTCTTTGTGATATCCACGCCCTTGCTACCCTTTCCCGCTGTTTCGGGGTCGGCGGCAGAGAGAAGCTTTTTAATACCGGAAATTTTCTTGTCTTGAGAACCGTGACCCTGGACTTTAGCGATACCCAGAAGACCTTCATGAACTCCCCGTACTGTCAATGGCTTCGGCTTGAACATGGTAGGCTGGTTCGATCGACTCTTAGCTGCCACCAAACCCAGGTCTCCAATCTCGTGCTGATCTGCCTTGATGACCGCCAAGCTACGGCCAGTACTCTCCCCAATAGCTTTCATGATCAGGGACTCACCAATTCCCAACTCGATGCCGGCATAATCGGCAGCCAGTTTGTTGATCATAAGCTGGACTGTCGGAAGGAGGTCTTGCGGTGTCAACCGAAGGACCTGGCGAAGAAACAGAGAGCAATGGGCAAGGATCACCAATCGCTTGGTGGTCATTTCAATAAGTGAGAAGGTAGTGCACAGTGCTGCATAAGGGACGGGGGTGCCAGGTTTCCAGTCCGGATATGGCTCACTTCCACTCGCTTTCAATGTAGCCTGCACCTTTTCCATGGTCTTTTTCATCACCTCGGGCTTTTCCTCCTCCTCCTCACTAGCCGACAACGCTTCATCTTCGGATTTGTCTTCCTCGGGAGTCTCCTCTCCCGACGCTTTCCTTACAACAGCCGGTGGCTCTGTCTCTTCGGGTTTAATGTTTTTATTAGGCTTGGAGCGCTTAGGAGATGGTGTCTTAGATTTCTTCTTCGGGGAAGGTGTCCCTTCCCCACTTCGTGAAGTCCTCCGTCTCCGTTTCTGTGCGGGCTGTACATCGCTGTCACTCGCTTCTTCCTCACTCTCTTTCCTTTTCAGGTCATTAGAGTCTCTATGTTCATCTTCCTGAGCAGGCACCGGCTTAGTCTCAACTGTATCTGCTTTGGTAGTACTTTCACCTCCAACTCCATTAGAAGCCTGTCCATTTGCAGATGAAGATTCGTGTGGAGACGCTGGTTTCGCCCCACCTTTCTGGGCCTTATCTTTCTTGCCAGAGAAAGAGAGTGTAGTCTGTTTCTTAGGAGCGTCTTTGGGGTCCGCATTCGAGCCGAAGAATCGACTAGAAACCAAAAATATACCAGTTAGTCACGCCAATCATCCACAAACCATAGCTTCACCCGGGCGACCCATATCAAGACGCACCCGAGAGTCAACTGGGAGTCACGAACATACCCCAGCGTAGCCTGCTTCCGGCCCTTCGGATCTGCCATTTTTAAAAGTGTAGATGGATAGAGAGAAGCTAATGTGCGAAGATTCGTCTGCGATCGGTGCGTAGCAAACTGTCTTTGTAGGAATCTGTGCCCAACTACGTCTTGCTGGACACGAGCACGACAGGTGATTAAATAGAGACGTTGCGGTACTGGTGTGAAAATGATTGGTTTCTGGAAGGGCGCAACAATTGCGGATCTGCGACGAGTGGACATAGACGTCGTATTCACCCGCGTATCAAACAGACATTGGAGGGATGGGTTAGAAGAATTATGTATAAATCAGGAATTGCGCCAGAGTATGCGCCGCATTTATTGTTTTTTTATTTTTTTTTTTTATAAAAAAAAAATAATAATTCACTGAGTCTCAATGAAGGCAGAAGCCGGCTGCCTGCGCGCAACGCGTGACGCGGAGATTAATTGGGTCACGTGGTTGTCGATAAGATAAGAGATTGACGTGACGTGCATTCTCTGTTCTATAAATTCGGTAGATTTAGAGAGAGAAAAAACAATAGGAAACATTTGATAGTAAAGCATTGTCTTTGTTCCTTCTTTAATATATGAATTATAGAGATATCGTTGGCTTGAAAGGTTGATGGTTTTATTGACTTTTACGATAACAGCTGAAAAAGAGCCTGTGGTATATATTGAACAAACATTATTCCCTTTTCGGTTTCACATCCCTCACCATACTATCAACCTCACTTTCAACCCCCTCAGCAGCCAGCTTATCATCAGACACTTCCCCGCTTTTTAATCTCTGCAGTAACCTAAGAATACCCTCCGTCGCATGACTTTGCTGGCGATCATTCCTCGCAAACCTCTCAAATGGTCTCATAATATGAAAAACCACCTCTTCAAGAAGATATACTGGGCCTATGGGCACAATATCGCCTGTTAAAGCCATACTCTCACACGATGGTGGATTCTCGGAACGATTATAAGCAGTCCAGCGGCAGTTGATTTCCATCCCTAGCCCCAAGTCTACGACTATGCCAATGCCGTCTTCGAGACTAGTTAGAGTACAGACAGTGGTGACGTTCGACTTAGGGTCTAGCGATGAGAACTTTGTATAGTTTGAACTAACAGAGGTGCTCTCCTTGATGCGAGACCCCGGGTAGAGCGATCTGATCATTAGGTCATGGTTGTGGAAGGCTTCTAGGATTGTGGCGCGGGAGAGCCTGTCCGGGACTCCTATGACCTGGCGTCGCTGGAGATCTTTGTAAAGTACTATGGTGATGGTGGAGATGGGTTAGTTGAAGATCCAGGGTTTTTGATGGGATATGATAAACACACTTGAGAACATATGATCAAGTGAGTATAAAATAGCCGAGTATAAGGTTCAGGCAATGGATGGCAGTAGTCCACGAAGCGCAACGTTCCTCCCCAAGCTGTCCTCCTTTCAAAATTCTGCTTTTCGATGAAAAATTGACGCAGTATACCTGAAAGACTTCAACAAGGATGACTCCTCGGTTAGCGGTTAATCTCCGGCCCCGGTTAATGGTTGTAGAACATGCTAGACTTATTTGCTGACGTTTTCATCAGTGTGGTATGAAATCTCGGAGAGGATGTCAATGAAAGTCCCGAATATAGCCGTATAATGAAGTGGGGAAGACATGCATGTGTACTATTAGGCTAAGAGCCACTAATGCTCACTAGTGATGCTTACCCTTTACTTCCTAGACTAGGGGGGATCTAGGTGATACTATTCCAAGCCCTACGCAAGCTCGGTGTCCTCCGCACTATTCCCGATGATACTGATAGCCTACTCAAGCATCTATCTTTACACTATGGTTCGAGTCAGCATTGGTAGAAGCAGGATGTTTGAGTATTCTCTGACTTTCCTATAATACCTTGTTGGTGAAGACCAAGCAATCTGGTCATTCCGGTGAATTGTGATGGCTTCCTCCTGGAAGCAATTAGGGACAAGAATGGGTCGGCTTAAATACTTACCTAAATTACCTACATAGAGGCAGTCAGCCATACCAGGTAAGTCGGGAGTATCAACCAAAAGCCTCGGTTCCACAATGAGATTGGAAACTGAAGCCTGGGGGTGGAAAATCCCCTAGTGTCTCTGTATTACTATAGTAGATTGTTGGAGGCAAAGAGCTAGACGCTTGATTGAACCGGTCGATAAACTATAGGGTTTCACATATGAACCCGTCATTTCCTTCCAGGGCAAATGTATTGATTTCAGCAGCAGCTGGGAGAACGAAGGGTCACATTATACCCTCAACACGGGCTCTGATTATCAGCAGATAGACCGAGATATTGAGTGCTACTTCCCGACTTATCTAACACTTAGGGAGCGGAGGTTCAGATGTACGACCCTAGCAAGCATGTAACCATCGACGATGGCTCCATTGCTGCTTTCTATGGCAGTGATCATGCCAGTAGCATTAGTGTTATGCCTGGATGCCCGACTGGTGTGCAAACAACGGACACTTGCGATGCTGTCTAGACGCTTGGGGGCTATGATTATAGGGAAGAGTTTTGCGCTGCATGTTCACTATGTATCGAGCTTTTCAGTCGAAGTATAGTGTCTACAATTGAGATAGCCATCTGGACTAGAATCTTTAACATCCAGGTCTACCCTGCAGAATACTTGCTGTCGCCGTTTCATAGTAGCCCGTATAAGTCAAAGGTTGCTTGTAGTATTGAATAGTCCAGGATCTGATACTTCGTTAAGAATATACCAAGCCCAAAATTCGCATACAACTAGGTCACCCTGACCGAATAATGACAATTAGCTTCACTCTCTCATGTATTATTTCAGAATCGGTCATGGCTACTAGGTTCCCAACGCTATTGAAACCATTGCACTATAATGTCTACCTTTCAGATGAGATTTCTGTTGCCATAACTCAAATAAAATAGTAGAAAGCATGGCAAAAACAATTTTTTTTTGTGAAATAAAGTCCGATTGATGTGCTCAGCCTGGGCAAAATCGATGAATATTTGACTGGAAAGTACTCCGTACGGAGTAATTAATACAAATTTGATTTAATGTCGCTCTCACACCGCCCTATAAATTTGCCGGCAGAAAAGGTGGGGCGGAGAACAACGATGACCTGTGACGTTCCATCTTGCACTGTTTGGCTCATGTACTTTGAGATTTGATATTTCAGCAGATACAAGTTTTAATAGACTGATAGCAAGCCGGATGGCAAGTCCATAGAGCCACACTCCAGATCCTATTTGACAGTGCCATTGTAGGCATTATGGAGTACTCACGGCAAGAAGCCTTTAAAAAGGTACAAACAAGCTCCACACATTCTGTACAGTGACCTGGCTAATGCGCTTCAAAGCTTCGGGACCCTTGTGTTGAGCTCAGCTCGGTTGGCCTTAGATACCGTGGCCATCAGTCATCTCAAAACGATGTTTTTCGGGCTCTCAAACCAGTGCAGAGCGTCCTGAAGGAACTGTCAAGTAAAGGTTCACTGGACGAAAAGCTAGCGGAATATGTATTCTTTCCGCTGTCTCACATATTCAATGAGACCCAGAGAATTTCTGCAAATTGCTTGGAATTGGCAGTTGACTGTTTGCGGATATTGATTGCTGACGGATGGCGACAACGCTTATCCCCGCAAATGGGCAAGCAGCTCATGATACTACTTACGTTGATTATTGGAGGCCCCCCAAGTAAAGCCAATAGTAGCCAGCAAACACAATCCAAACCAGCAGAACTGTCTATCACCGGCTTTGACTGCCTTTCAGCCATATTTGATGTCATGGAGGGGCCTGTAGCGCAAAAGACGATCTATAACGAGATTGGCACAGCGACGGTTGTTGACCAAACTGTGTATGTCTTGCTTGAAGGGATTTCAGACAATACATCGGACGACCTTTGCGTTTCTGCCGCAAAAGCTCTTCAAGCTCTGTACTATCGAATAACTGATCGGGTAGTCCTGGCTAGCATAATGCCACGGACGGTCTCAACGCTGACCAAAGTCATCAAGCCTACAACTCAAGTACGACGCTCTTACAAGCTGCTTTCTGCTAGCATTAAAGTCCTTACACACATGCTTAAGGTCGTTCTTAATGACAAAGTAGTGAGTGCTGCACCAGAGAAGCCCTCCCGGTCTCATGAAAGTGGTGATGATCTTGTGCTTGATGAATCCTGGCTGAAGGCCACAACGACACAAATTAAGCTTGCGCTTGCAAATGTTATTCAGGTTAGGCGACATGACCGGCCCGAAGTACAAGCTTCGCTGATGGAACTATGCTCAATGGTCGTGGAGGATTGCCGAAGCACGCTACAAGAGTCACTTCCCTTAGTGGTTGAGACTATGGTCGTGTTATCTGAAACTGGTGATGACGAATCACCTAACAATGCGTACACCATCCTTATGCATCTTGCCACCACTTATTCTGAAGTGCTGGATTCCCTTAAGAACTCTCTTCATACTTGGATTACTGCTTTCCCGAGAACCATGCAAAGCAATGATGAAACATCAAAACAATGGGCACTTAAACAGATATCTACTGCCTTTCATATATTGTCCCAGATCCAATCTGGGTCTGACATACTCACTACTGGGCTTGCATCAGGACTGTGTGACAGCGTTTCTGCAGCTATTAACAATTCAAATAACGCTCTTCAGCCTCTGAACCCGGAAGCCTCAGGCAGTCAAACTATAGAAGTGCTTCACCATGGACATCAGTCAAGGTCTTTTCCACCAGTTCTTCTGGAACATCGCAGTCAACAACAAACCCTCAAAGACCTTCAATCCATGATTCTTAGGCTTAACAGGTCTGAATCTGGAGGTGATATCACACGCCTAATCATTAACCGGGTTCATCAAGAAACAGGCAACTCTATGATTGCACCTTTTTGGTTGGCGCTGGAATGCCTCAAGGGCGGTGCTCAGCTCACTAGCCTTGATGAATTTATTTCGTCTGACTTTATAGAACCGTCATCATTGTTTTCTACGAGAGCTAATATGTCCGAAGAATTATATTACATCTCACTCCCTTTATTAAGCGAATCATTGCCTGACGAATCAAAAGACTGGCGGATTTCGGCTCTCGCTCTAGAGGTAGTTGCACTTCAGGCCCAACAGCTTCACGAAGCATTTCGACCAGAGCTGATGGACGCATTATACCCTGTTCTTCAGCTCCTATCATCGCCCAACCCCAATCTTCAGAGGCATGCTATGATATGTCTCAATATACTAACGGAAGCCTGTAATTATGAGAGCACGAGCACGATGATTATTGAAAACGTCGATTACCTGGTGAATTCAGTGGCCTTGAAGCTAAACACGTTTGATGTCTCACCGTATCCGCCCCAAGTCTTGTTCATGATGGTCAAACTATGCGGTGCGCGGTTAATTCCATATCTCGACGATCTAGTCGATTCAATCTTTGGAATATTGGATATGTATCATGGATATCCAAAACTCGTCGAAATGATGTTCAAAACCTTGGCCGCCATTGTTGAGGAAGGGACTAAAAATCCGTCATTCCTGGCAATAGGCGATGGAACGGATAGCGAACGTGCGGGACATCGTAAGAAGCAGTACAAGAGGTTACAGATCTCTATTCTTGCTGAGGATCTAGCAAATCGGAAAGCGAAGCGTGCCAAGCATCTGGACGAGTTTCCTAACGCTGACGAGCAAGTCTCACACCCAGAACGGCCGTGGACCACAAAGCCTGATAAGCCCGTCGAGCCAGAAGAGGATATCGAGACGCTTTTGAACAAGGGAATAGAAGAATCAGACGAACCACTGCCTGCACCACGCGAACCCGAAGACCAAGAAAAGCCATTGAGCAAATCACATAACCTATTGCTACATATCATCAAGTCTATCCCTTCACATCTTTCTTCTCCATCACCTTATCTTCGCCGGTCCTTGCTTTCTATCCTAATTCAGGTATCACCAATCCTCTCGGGGCACGAAAACAGCTTCTTACCCATCATCAATGAGTTGTGGCCATCAGTAGCTGCAAGGATCAGCCTTCCCTCATCCTTCAATATCAGCTCTTCATCGACAGCTCTCATGACAAGAGAAGACTCAATCAACGGACCCAAGAACCGACCAGACGACGAATTCAACTTCAAAGAAGAAATATACGTAACCACAACAGCCTGCCACGCCATAGAAAGCATGTGCAAGAGCGCCGGCGATTTCATGGCCACCAGAATCGAAACCGAATTCCCTCGTTGGGAACGTCTCTACCGTCGCGTATGGGAAACCGTCCGACAGGACGCCGAAAGGGCCATTCAACGGCGAGCCAAGAGCCAACCCTCCGAAAAAAACACAGATATACTTCTTTCACTATCCCTAGGACTCTCACAATCACTATCTCTCAATACAGCAGGGGGACCCTCAGGCGCACGCGCTTTCACACCTCACCATAGTCTCTGGCGAGCTCTCCTCTCACTGTTCATAACTCTTCTCACACACGTCCGCCTACCATTGTCTATGGGTGACCAGATCTGCGAATTTCTTGCAGCGTGGATAGCCCGGTTTGCAGGTCCAGGTTATTATTCTTCCCGTCCTTCTTCAAGGCAGGGGATTTCGTCTTCTCTCCGCCTGGAAATTGACTCTGTTAACAATGCTATTGAGGCAATGGAAACCTGGAACATTGACTTGACTTGGTTCATATTTCAGCAGCAAAAGGCACAAATGCGGAATATCACACCTCAAAGGAAGACACACAGTACCCCATTGATACGTGAAATCAATGAAGACCCCTTGCAAGCATGGTCATCGCCAGGAAATAAACTGAAGTTTGCGGAGTTGGCGTTCTAAGTGTTCATGAAGACTTGGATTATAAAGGGGCTTGCTTAAGCATGAATTAGATCAGGAGAACATATCTTCCAAAATATAACGATTGAATAATTATGTTGTCAATACATTCCAAGCATCTTCATACACTGTTATGGGATACGAGAAGAACCCTGGTCGTGCCAAATGGAGTTGAGACCGATGGCGTATCCCTTGACAGTGATATTCAATTCCTTCAGTGTATGTATCCCTAGCGAGCCACAGGAGAGGTTCCTTCTTGTGAGCAGTAGATAAGGGTGTCAAGTTTGCGAAAAAGTAGATTTGGCATTGGAACACCCCTAAAGCGTAGAGGGGGCTTCTAAAGTCTGCAAAGTACTGGACTTTGAAACTTAGGGTAGGTTTACGATGAATACAGAATCACAAGGGAAAAGATTTAATTGGAAGGCACTAATCTCAACTGTTTTTGTTTGTTTTCTCTGATTATTTTCAAATCAGAAACATCACAACAGGTCATACTGACTGTCAACAAAAGCAAAACGAGTGGAAAGTAGTTGGGACGAGGAATAAAAGTTAAACAAAAACATCCCGAAAGTAGTTTCCAGAGATAAAGGACTATGAATAGATAAGCTATCTATTCGTCGTCGCTCTCTTCTTCGCTCTCCGATTCAGCATTCTCAAGCCATTCGAGGAAAGGCGCAGCAGCCTTACGGACTTTCTTGCTAGTGGAGATATCAACATACTTCTTGCTAGCCTTAGAGCCCCATGCCTTGAGGGTCTCCTCAGAGATGATATCCTCCTGATAGAGCTGAAGAAGGATGGCGGGAATTTGGCTGATCAACTCAGGGTGATCCTTGCCCACGAAGCGTTCGATACCACCCAAGAAGGCCTTCTCGTGGCGTTCCGAGGTAACCATCTTCTGAAGCAAATCAGCGCGGTCAGGGATCTGCTTAGCGACATTCTTGTCGAACATGGTTTGAGCAAGAACTGCCAGAGTCTTATGCTTCGACTCAATACCGTATTCCTTGGCCTTCATGTAAATGTCTACATCGCTGACTTTAGCGACACCACCCTTTTCAGTCGCGGTGTCCTGCACCCAGCTACCGAGCTCGTCATAGGCAGAAGGGCCATCGGCACCATCTTCGTCCGCATCCTCAATGACAAGGGAACGCTTCAGGTCATCGGGGAGTTCCTTGGCACGAGCGCGGACGGCCTCCTCAGAGACGTCGACGGACCATTGAACTTCAGCTTCCTCAGCTTCAATGGTCTCGGCCTCAGTCTTGATACGACGAGTAAGTTCATCGTCACTGCCAGCGTCCATGCCCATGTCACCATTCTCTGCGTCGCCATTGTCAGAGTTGCTGTCTCCTGGGCTGCCGTTCTCTCCATTCGCTGTCTCATTCTTCTTGTTCCGCTGTTCACGACGGGTCTTCTTGTCGGCCTTGTTCTTTTTCCCTCCTTTTCCACTAGTTTCGTTGCGGAGGATGAAAGTGCTCAGTTTCAGACGGGAATCAACATCGGAACGTTGTCCGCAGGCTTTGCAATCCAGGATAATCTTATCATCCTTGATGATGACGTCGGTTTCAGGGTTCTTGCACTTCTTGCAAAGAACGAATTTGGAAATGAATCCGTCAAGATAATCCTGGAGCTTGGCGGCATCATGGGCGCCGTTAATAATCCAGCGGTCATCGGTCGGCTTGGCGTTGGCCTGAGCGCCAAGCTCGAAACCGAAGTACTTGATCACGTATGCAGGAGGACGGCTAAGGGACTGAGCGACCGAGTTCAGGTTGACAACGACGGTCTTGATTCCATTGCCCTTGCCCTCAATCTTGGACTGCAGACGCTCCATCTTGTAACGGTAGAAGGGATCGGTAACATCCCGACGAATGTTGACGGTAGCCATGGTGAATAAAGATGAAGATCTTTGTTTACTTAAAAAGGTGTCTGAAAACGAAGCAGGAGGGATTCCGGACTAGGGATGTCTTGAAAGTACAAGACATGCGTAGAGGTTTCCTGGTTTTGGAGGAATGGTGGCGGTTAAGATCGTCTCAACGGAGCGACTGGCACAGCGAATATGGCAGCCCAAAGCTTTCAGCCACAGGACTTAGAATGTATACTACAAGGTTTCGACGCGGGACGAAACGTTTGCAGCTTGAGCGGCAGGTGGTGTTCGAAATCTCTGACACAGGACGAATACATAGACAAGTTCTCGATCGACTCTGTTTTAGCGGATTTCTCCAACGGGAAGAGAGAAACCAACTGGGTGGTTCTTCTGTAAGGCAGCAGGAAAAGACAAAGGTCAGAATCTCGATACTTCGGATGACCGGTGGCTGACGACGAGATGACCGCAGTACTAACCAGTGGCTTTGATGAATCAAAATGTGCAGTAACAACCGTAAGCCGTGTTTAACAGCTTTCCGGGGAACTTTGGAAGACGGGACAATGTCAAGAACTGATGACTTGACGATGAAAAGAAGAGTAAGTTGGGATGGGAAAGAAAGAGAAAAAGAGGAAGGAAAGAGAAAGAAATTGTTGCCAAATAGAAGGACGATTCAAAGGCTCCACCGCCAAGCCCGGCAGAAAAAAAATAGAAGAGGAAAAAAGTCCAATCTGAGTCAGCAGGCCGGCTGATTTCCGGATCAGGTCGGTTCCGAGGGCACGTGCACAAAGCACTTTGATGCAATGGCGTCCGGAGTTATGTCGGACTTAACATTCCTTCTGTCTATTGATTTCAATCTCTAGACCGTTTTTCTTTCCAGCAGTATCAGTATTATTATCACACTGCCTGCATCGACAAACATTCCTCCCTCAGTCCTCCTTGCTTCACATCTGTTGTTTATCTTTTATTACGCAATTGAGCGAACACTTGTGCAAGATACAGCCGATCTTCTTCCTGCACACTGTACAACACAAGGGGTTGTACAAACCAGTTACTATGGGCCTAAAGAATGCGCTTCGAGCTACCGTAAACCACTAGGGCTGCACCGCTATGAAACACACTATCGTGTCCTTGAATACTGCCGATCATTCAATCCAAATTTCGACGAAGAATGACTGGTAGAATGCCCCAACTTTAAAGAATAGACGGGATACTTCAACCCCCTCACGTCGGGTTCGGGGGTGACTACCATAAATGTGATTAGAGCGATGATCGCTGAGGTACTGATTTCAGGGCCATGCAGGGGCCGAACTTCGCGAGTCGTCTCTGTCTTAGACGCCGTTCATGCAGCTAATCATGCAGAGACAGTACTAAATAGTAGTTCAATGGTTATACTTTCTTTGGATAGGTGCATGTACTATGTCGTAGTCGATTTGTGGATTGTTGTACTCGGTATATTTGTGGACAACGTTTAGAGTACACCACCAGGATTAGGTATATTCAAAAAATTACGGAAACACAATGCGGAGACTTGTAACAAGTGAACGGAATAGTACAGTAGTACAGTTATGCTATTTTAGAATCATTGATTGTGCGTTGAGTCGCGGTTAGAGGATCGAGTTTACCCATCTAGGGCTATACATATACTCTATATAGGTAGTAACTGGTTGTGGTCTGAACAGTACCAATGACACTCTGTACTGCCCGATAATCCGTGCTACAATATCCCAGACCAAAGGAATTTTAGATAAATGCAGGGTTGGATTTATTGTAGGGTTATAGAGAATCAACAGACTCTAGGTAGGTTATGCTATTGGCGATGCGAAAGTATGACTAACTACTATTGCGTAAATCCAAGCAAACCTCCCCAACGTCATTTCACCCACGTTTCTCGACCGACACGATTGTATTAGTGCCATTATAAACAGGCCGAAGATCCATGAGTATCGTCGGATAGAAGGTATTGTGCTCACCCGTTTCTCATATGGAAAGTTTTCCATGTGCATCCCTATCCTTGTCCCCACATACCCCACGTGCCCCTCACCGGTGTCTCGACGCTTTATGAAAGTCCCGTAAATGCAGCCATAGATACTAATTAGCGCAACCCAGAAAAATAAAAATAAAAATGCCGTTAAATCTTTCTTTGTATCTGGTTACCGACTCAACCCCGGCTATCCTCAAGGGCCGTGATCTGTGTACGGTGGTGGAGGAAGCTTTGAAAGGAGGTCAGTCATTTTCCATTCCCGGGAAATTCCCCATTAACGCTTGGCGTAGGTGTCACGATAGTCCAATATAGGGACAAGAAAAGTGATACAGGAGAACAGATACAGATAGCTAAGAAGCTGCATCAGATCACCCAGAAGTATGGGGTTCCCTTACTGGTCAATGACCGTGTGGATGTTGCTCTTGCCGCTGGAGTTGAGGGTGTCCATCTCGGTCAAGATGACATGGGTGAGCCATTTGCTGCCATGCAATTTTCATGGTCTAATTTCTTGTAGCTATCGAACAAGCAAAGCAGCTTCTTCCTAAGGATGCTATCATTGGGATCACCGCTGCCTCGATAGAAGAGGCTCAGAAGGCTATTGATGCCGGCGCGGATTACCTCGGGATAGGAACCATGTTTGCAACCCCGACGTATGTTATCTGCCACAAAATAATCTACTGTTTTAAGAATCATGCTGACCTCCATTAGCAAGACCAACACCAAGCACATCATCGGAACAGCCGGTACACAGGCTATCCTTGATGCTATCTCGGACACGGGTCGCTCTGTCGGGACCGTCTCAATTGGTGGAATCAATCTTTCTAACGTCCAACGAGTCCTCTACCAATCCAGAGCTCCCAGGAAGGAACTTGATGGAGTTGCCATTGTCAGTGCCATTATAGCTGCGGACGACCCGAAGGCCGCAGCAGCTGAATTTGTGAAACGCATTGCCACTCCCCCGGCGTTCGTACGAGCCCCAGCAGCTCCTCAGACCCGTGAAGTTGCTACACTACAGGATGAGGTGCCAAAGATCGTTCAAAAGGTCGTACAAGCGCATCCTCTTGTGCACAACATGATCAACTTTGTTGTTGCTAACTTCGTTGCTAATGTTGCTCTGTCGATGTAAGTTGTCTCGATTGTCTGTATGGCCTGTGCATGTCCAGTTAAGTGTGTTCTAGGGGTGCTTCTCCTATCATGGCCCCGCACGGGGATGAGGCTGTGGATCTCGCGCAGTTCGACGGTGGCCTAGTCGTCAACATGGGTACCTTGACTAGCGAGAGCGTTCCCAACTACCTAAAAGCCATCAAGGCTTACAACGAGCGCGGGAACCCCGTTGTCTATGACCCTGTTGGTGCTGCGGCTACGCACATCCGTCGTGGAGCAGTCAAACAGCTCATGGCAGGTGGATATTTTGACCTCATCAAAGGCAATGAGGGAGAAATTCGACAGGTCTTTGGCAGCAGCGGCGTGACTCAGCGCGGTGTCGACAGCGGTCCGAGCAGCCTGGATGGTCAAGCTAAGGCCACCCTGGCGCGGGACCTGGCTCGGAGAGAGCGTAAGCCGCCACTTATCCTTTATTCATTGAGATCACACTAATATGGTCGGATGCAGACAACCTTGTTCTTCTCACTGGTGCCGTTGACTATCTCAGCGACGGCGAGCGAGTCATCGCTGTGGAGAACGGACACGAACTCCTTGGACAAGTCACTGGCGTATGCTTACCTCCCTGCCCATACGAAGGTAATCGACAATACAGTATGCTGATATAATATATAGACCGGCTGTGCCGTTGGAACCGTATCCGGCTGCTTCCTAACTGCCTACCCATCCGACAGACTCCTGGCTGTTCTGTCCGGCATTCTGATGTACGAGATCGCGGCGGAGAACGCCGCTTCGAAAGAGTACGTGCGGGGACCCGGCAGCTTTGTTCCTGCGTTCCTCGACGAGCTCTACGCTATCCACCAAGCAGCCCTGAAGGGAGACCACAGCTGGTTTACCGGACGGGCAAAGATCCAAGTGATCGATTTGTAGATGCGTCGGCATATGTTGATTTCATGTGAATATAAAAGTTGTTAGAAATACTATCGATGTACACATTTCCAAAAACAGAACTCTCTCTCTCTCTCTATCTCACACACAGAAACAACAAGATAAAGAAACCCAAATAGACAATTTCAACACAAACATGCAAGAGAAAATCAATCTCCATTCAATACACACAACCTCAAGCGTAGCCCCTCACTTTGTGCCTGACAAACCAGGCAACAAACCCATGATCTTCTCCGCATACTCCTTCCTCACGGACTTCCCCGCCCGATTTCCTCCGCAGTCATCTTTCTTGACAATTAAACCGCAAGCCATTCAATCCATTTCACGCATCGCACATTCGACTCACCAGTACCAATCGCTAAACACAAACTCCCACACCAAAACCACCCAAGATGGCCACCATCACAAGAGCAGCCCGCATTCGTAAGTCCCCCTACAAGTCCAATATCGAGATAAACACTAATAAAAGTAATAGGTAACCCAGCCCTATTGTACGTCCATATCCCCCAGAAGAGAGTCCACCATAAATCTAACAATTCTACCAATCCAGCATCTGCGACATCCAAGAGAAATTCAGACCTGTAATCTACGAATTCTCGAAACTGTACGTCTACCACAAAACTTCATTGAGCAAATGCAATCCCCTAGAATTCATCATTCAATACAACCCCAACCCCCAAAATTCAACAATAACATTCTCAAAACCAACAATAATAACAAATGTGTAACATATTAAAAGAATCCCAACAACAACCAAACTCCTTAAAGCAGCCAACACGCTTCAAATCCCAACTTATGTCACAACCCAAAACCGGTCCAAACTCGGTGACACAGTTTCCGAACTGCAACCTCACCTCTCATCCCCAAATGTGAAAGCCGATATCGACAAGACCCTGTTCTCTATGATTACCCCCGAGATCGAGGCCAAGTTACCTAAGGTTTCTGCCGGGGAAACGCCATTCGATGCTATTATCGTGGGAATTGAGACGCATATCTGTGTTACGCAGACCACGCTGGATTTGTTGGAGAGAGGTCATCGGGTTTATGTTATTGTGGATGGTGTAAGTAGTGTTAATAGTGAGGAGAGGGGGATTGCCTTGGCGAGGTTGAGGGATGCTGGGGCGGTGGTGACGAGTAGTGAGAGTGTGTTGTTTGAGGTTTTGGGGGATGCGGGCCATGGTGGGTTTAGGACTGTTAGTGGGTTGGTTAAGGAGATGAAGGAGGAGACGAAAGGGGCTTTGGAGGTTTTTTCGAAGATTTAGGTTTTCTTCTTTGAGAGATTTGGTTTGATTTTTTGTTGGATTTTGTGGTTATAAAGTAGGAAAAAGGATTGAGTGACCTTTTTGAATTGAGATGTTGTTTGCTATTAATATTATGAAGAGTGCTATACGGATGATCTTATAGTAACTGCTTCAGTTTCGAGGGAATGGATGTCAATTTGTGTGACTGCAGCCAGGATGTTACTACTACGCTATAAACCGGTTACTGCATAGTACATGTGAAGTCGACCAACACCGTCAAACGCTCACTTTAACGTCGCCAAAGACAGTTACGTTACACGCATAGGTAGACCGTCAATTAGGACTGGACCCCTAATATATTTCATTTAGGGTTCGTCACAGCTCGGGTCGGTTGAGACGAGTTGAGCCACCCAAACGCAGAGGCGCCGCCAATGGGATTGGATACCCATGGTTTACCCGTCCGAGTCTCGTCTGGGGATGCTCGCGAGGATGCCGGCTGAGAGGGCATCGGGACTGCATCATTACTGGAGCTGGTGGGCACGTTTGTAGCCGATGACGTTCGAGAGGAAGACTTGGTTGGGCGTAGGACTTTCATAGGGCGAGTCCTGGAAGTCTTACAGGCGGTGGAAGCATTAGCATCTAATCTGGTGTCGCGTTTCCACGAACCCCAAACACCGGTTGGCTCCACCTTCGCCGGGCCCTCTGGCGGAGAGCCCGCGACTACAGCTGGCTTGCTCACGCTGGTGGATTCGGCAGTCCTTGGGAGTTCCTGGGTATCCAAAGATGTCTTTCGACTTTCTTCAGGCTCCTCAGTCGAGTCTCTAGCGGAAGCAGATGCTGATCTGGACTGTCGAGACAGACTCCTAGGTGGGCCAATGACACCGACTGAATGGCCATTGATGTCTGGTTGAGCGCTAGCTTGAAGCGATTGAGTCGTGCCCGTAGTACGTGAGGCATCCGATGCCGTGCGAAGGAACTTGAAAGCCGAGTCATCTTCAGGCCGCACAAGAGGGATCGAGATCTTGTTCCGCTCATCGTCCACCATGATAATCTTGTCCTGTGAGAAGAGCAGTTCTGCATTATGGGAACGAAGGATATCACTGCCAAGAACAATCTGAATGGAAGGATCACTGGAATCGATGTCACGGACAAGGAATCGGACAGTCAGTGCGGGCAGCTGGTGGACTGGGCTACCAGGCCTGGATGATGATTGGTGAATGCTAGCCTCGGGAAGATACATCGGAAGCTTGATGAACTGCAGGTCTTCCTCCTGTGTTACCAAGCCCTCGAGGCCCAGCTTTCGAATCAGAGGATAGCCCAATGACGATTTATACGACCCCGAGCAGACAGCTGCATACAGAAGCGTGTCATTGGAGAAGTTGGTCGTCAACCAGCACCGTATAATGCAGGGTACAGGGCCAAGGAGAAAAAGTCCAGGTGGAGGAATGAGAGGGGATCCACCGACAGAAGAACCCATCATTCTGCTGGTGGTTTCCAACCCTAGACTATTGGTACGTGCCGAGTGATGGGAATGTCCCGATGAGCTTAGTCGTCCATCAGATCGGTGAGACAAAGACCGCTCGGTCAGCGGATGACTTCCCATGCCACTTCCCGTTCGCAGTGGGAGCTCGCTGGTAGACCGACTAGCTTGTCCATAGTAACCGTGTATAGCGCTTTCATCAAAGCGAACACTATTCGCTCTAGATGTCCCTCGTCTTGGCTCCTCTTCGCTCTCTATGCCCATGGTCCCTCCAACCCCGTGATGCTGTCCCTGATCGAAACCTTTGAAAGTGTCGGCCGGTGAATGAAAGATAGGCTCTGCAAAAGGAATGAGATATCAGCTCCAATCCGAAAGCAATTCAAGGACCAAGTGAACACACCTGTCGGTATTGTGCCTGCAACGGATGTTGGAAACGGAGATAGAGGGCCCCAGACACTTTTCAATCTCGCATCCTCGTCCCTTCGCCGCTCCAGTCTTGCGATTCGCTCCGCCTGCTCGAACTGTGTAGCATGGAGCTCCTTCAGCTCTTCGAAGACGCGCCAGATGTCGTCACGTGAAGCAAAAGGGTACTGAGCATCCATATCCGAACGACTAGATAAGGGTGGCGAACAAAGCAACGACCAGGGAGAACAGGACACAAATGAATCGGATCCCAGGAATCAGACAACGTTATGTTTCTCCTTCAAGCTACCTTTTCGCCTTAACCGGCCAGGGTTACGTAGCTCACTTTATCCTCGAGACTCCTCCCTCCTCTGTGAGACGGCCGTACGGCCGTCCACCCGGTTTGCTAAAGATGAATATCTGCAACCTTTACCAAAACCATATAAACCTAATAGCAGCTTGCTGTTTGGGTATTCTCACTCAACAACGCTGATGAGTAATGACGGGAAACGAAGTGTCGAGAAGGGTGCCTTGATTCGGACGGAAAGAATGCCGACTTGACGGTTGACGAGAGATATCCAATGAGGTAAGAAGCGACCACCTCAGCTCGTGTTAATAGGCCGCGAAAATTGTTGAAAAATGGAGTAAGGAGCTGTAGGATCGACTGAAGATTTTCTAGCAAGGAACGCCTAGGAGAGAAATGATCTGCTTTGCAGGAGAATATGCGAGTTGAATGCTAGGTCGGAGGCTCCGGCGCTTTTTTAAGGGTGACTTGAAACACGAGTGGTTAGATTGCTCAAAGAAGATGCAAGAAATTTCAGGAGACAGGAGAAACAAGTTCGTAAGATCGTGGAGGACAGAAAATTATGCGCTGTAAACTGAAAGGAAGGGTGATGACGAGGCAAGGAAGCAGTATGGAAGGTGAAAGACAAAAGATGAGGGGATGAAATTCAATGCAACGGCCGTCACTTTCTATCTTGGGCTTAGTCTGAGTTTCTTTTGTCTCCGACGGAGTTTGGACTTGGAGCCGATTCTAGACCGCTTTTGTTTGCACACCTTCACTAACTGTAAGGAATAGGCAATAACAGTCAACCCTTTGAACTTATACTACATTCTAGGAGCTCTGGGAAATTTATAGAAAAAATTTAGTCTTTCCATTCTATAGAACGTGGTAAACTATCGATCCGTGCGGATCCCCACCCGTTGCCATTACATATCCGTCGCTCTCTACCTTGGCGCCTCCGTCCATGCGGGATGAACCATATCCATTGCAGTAGGTTCTTCCTCTGGCCACTTTGCTCGGATCGTTTCCATAATCGCATCAAACACTACCCGATACCCATCCGCCGTCAAATGTAGCCCTTTTCCATAGGTTAGTCAGATGTTAGACACAAACGAAATGAACAGCACAGACCATCAGTGAAAAATCGCGCAAATTGATCCAATTTTGGCAAATCTCTTGAGCCCGGCAGTGGCTCACCCTCCTTCCAACCAACGGCAGACATGAACGCCTTCCATACATCCACTACAGGGATGTCGAGAGAGGCGCCAACTTCGCGAACTGCCTCCGCATACTGTTTAGTAAAAGCGGCGGTTCGGCTGGGATGGGCATTTCCCTTGGACTCGTCAAACCCCTGTAATTGGTATTCGTTTACAGGAGGTGGAGTCAGCAGGAGGATATGTGGATTTTGGGCCACTGTTGCAGGATGTTGGATGATGCGAGTTAGATTCTCTTTATACACGTCCAATGGGAGATGCTGGGGGCTGCCGGGGAGACACGCGTCGTTGGCTCCAAAGAAGATAGTCTATACGAGTTAATATGCATAGACTACTTCGAAATTCTTGATAAGATTAGCCAGCGTACCATGAACCGCACTGTGGCTTGTTCCGGGGTGGGAAAGAACTTGGGAAAGACTTTGATGGCATGACCAGAGGTATAGCCACTACAGGGAGTTGTGTGGTTAGTAGGGCTATTATCGAACAAGTCAAATGCTCTGGCGTAACGCACCCAAACCCACGGTTGATCACATCCAGGCGTCGACTGTAAGCTGTAAGATCTCAGCAGCTGCATGAAGTAGTCGAAGGGGAGGAAAATAAAATACTACCTACCATCCTGCAGTGCTGCGAATAGCCCAAACCCCATGTGGGGGTCACTGGACATCTGGGTGATTGAATCCCCAAAGAGGATGAATTGATCGTAAGGCTTGTATAAAGCCTCTTCCTTGGTTGCCATTGCGAAACAAGATTGTCCAAGATTTACTTCTTAACCTTTCTAAAATAGCTGGTAGCTAGTCGGTGTAGAACAATATTGGGAGGAGAGATAGAGGGAAGAGAAGATTGAGAAGATTAAGTACTATACTACCGAATCATGGAGGGGCTTCGTAGAGATCAAATAGTTCACGATCCGATAAAGATGCTGACCACTCAGCGGCCGTCGGTGATTGCGGCAGATAAACAGTGGATCTCGTAAAAACACAATTAATTGCTTACTTAGACTTTAAAACCGTCTACCAATGTCAACCCCTTCATGATACCCACTTGAAAGATACTGGTTAACCCTTCTTTCTATACGTATTTGACAAATGCAAATGGAATAGCATAGCATCCGCATGGAAGGCTCTGGACCAGCCATCTACACGCTTCTAGACATCGAGGTTTTTCCACCAACAAACTTGGCTCCTGCGCCTGTTCAAGTGGGGTCTTTTTTTCAATTAGTGGTTCCTCGTCAGCCTGATTCGACAAGGGAGAAAGAATTCACAACTAAACCGGCCGTGTTCGAAAGGGAATACGGCCAAATTTCGTGCCAGCAAAGAGAGGAGAAAGGAAGCTTACCCTTCTCTACCCCCAGAAGCTTTGTCCGTGTTCATCAGAATTGCTTGTATGAAATTAGACGAAATCAAGTATGCTAATCGAAATTATCCAATCATATCATATTTAAACCTGGGACAATGAAGCACGCTCAATATTAAGCCCATTCCCTCCCCATTGCATGCACCGCAATAGTGGGTAGCAAGCTACAGCCGAATATCATGGCGCTCGCAACACCTGAACTAGCAGCGACACCAATGTTCGCAAACATATCAGGAAACCTGTTTGATGTCAATTATGCACCGGGGTGACATTTGCTTCGAAAGACTTACCAAAATGGGCCGATGAAGCCCCAGATCTGTCGAACAAAAGTAATGAAGACCCCTACACTTCCAGGATCGTCTGGGTGGCAGTCGACGGCATATGTGACCATGACAGTAGTCACGACTTGATTACCAAAGGCAGCCACTCCAGTTCCAACAATAGGCGTCACAGTCCAATGCCCCTCAGGGGCCTGCTGGGTACATACTAAAAAGATAATGACGCCAACAATGGTCAAGACAATGCCGGGGTAGCTGAGCCAGAGACGGAATTCTGGCTCCGGCTCCTTTCGTGTACGCCGTGCTCGGCGATTCATCCAGTAATCGGATATCGAACCCCCGATTTGCTCTCCTAGAATTGTGCCAACTATGACCCCGATAAACTGGAGACCAAGTTGTTCAGTATTGAGAGCAAACTTCTCTTGTAGGAGCTGAGGAACTTCGACGGTGATCATGACACTTCCGAATAAGAACACCATGGCATACACAACAGCTGGTACGACTACGCTCGGGCACCTAACCATGGTCAACGGGTGAACGAATTCCCTGAATGTCAGTGGGGTGGGGTCGATGCGTCGAAATGAAAGATATTGGGTTTTGAAGCCAGAAGGTGAATCCTCTGTACTACCACCAATATAGCGGGTTTCGGGCCCAAAGAAGATGTACAGGATGAATTGCACACCATTAGTGATGGCGAGAACCCAGAAAATCCAGCGGTAACCCGCGCGATTCGCAACAAAACCAAAGATCAATGCACCTAGTAAGTAATAGTTAGCGGAGCCAAACACCAAAGCAATATGTGCGTTCGCACTAACCAACTGGTATACCCAAAGTGACCATTAAGGTCCATATGCCCATATATCGGGCCCTCTCTTTCTTGAAGAAGGTCTCTGCCACAACGGCACTTCCGATCGCTGCTGCTGGAGAGATGAAAAATGCCGTTAAAGCTCTACATGCGGCCAGGGACGCATACCTCGGGCTCTTCGCACATCCAACATTGCAAACAAGACTGAGGATGGTGGATAGCAGAAATATAGGCCGACGACCGTACCGGTTGGACAATGGTTTCCAGAAGAGGGGAGCCCCTCCAAGAATAGCAATCTGTAGAGAGGTAAGATAGCTGGCTCTTTGTAGAGATACTCCTAAATCGACGCTAATGTCCTCATAGGCAGGGGTGATTGATGATGTAAAGGTGGCCATGCAAGCATGAAAGGCGACAAGTAGGAGGTTGGTTAATTTCTATAGTAAACAGAATTTATCAGGTGAGGCTTGAGCTATATACTCAGGAGGACTTCATACCTTCCAAGTAGGCCAGTTGTATGGGTCTGCGTCTGACGCACTTGGCATGGGGTCTAGGTCCAAGGTGCCATGTCGTTTAAAGAGATATTCACGATGAGATGGAGACAGCGAAGCCGAAATATCATCAATCTGTGGTGGGCCGGTCTCTGCTTTCTCAATACACTCGCTATCTTCCTTTTCCAGGGAGGAAAGGCCCTTGCTAGCTGGTGATGGGATCGATGGGATAGATAGGACCTCCCCTTGATCCGCCGTTCTTATATTTGATGGCATGGTATTGGCAAGAAAGGAATATAAACGGAGTCGGCCTCTTAAAACAAATTGGGATTATTTGAAGAACATGGCTTAACACTAGGCAGAGACAAGTAGGTGAGGAGAGCTGAGTAGCCCTATACCAACGGCAGGTAAGGGCTTATAAGGGAGGAGCGGATGGACCGGCCGTTAGGTTGCCACCCATTATGTTATGAACAAACCTAGGGAACTGTACAGTTGGTTCCAGTTGACAGTGCCTCCTGAAGTCTCGGACTGATGGATATCTGGGGAACCTGGGGAACCTGGGGAACCTGGGGATGGAAGGAATCTCTCTACTAGTACTGTGGGGATTAGGACTAGTCCCCACAGCACGTCAATGCCAGACTGGGTGCTCATAGGCTTGTCTCAGCGTACAGTTTGCTGTCTTGTGGAGAAGTGGCTTGTAGGTTCAGTTCAGCTCTGTGGAATGCTTACGACACAACCATGTTAGTGGGTGCAGAAGGAGAGAGAAACCCTTTCCAGAAGTACGTCCCCATGAAGATCAATTATCTACGACCCAGGTGGTGTAGTTGATTGCTAACATCTGCCTTCTGCAAATAACAACACAATCGCGTTTTACTGCTGAAAAGGGTCCCCCAAATCTGTTGCTATGCGAGCTTTAAAGAAGGAGACGTGAAGCAGAGAGCGGGTTACGTTTCCGTTTCAAGGTAGTCAGGCCGAGTCCAGCTCGGCCCAAACTACGAGGTACAGTTAGTATCTTCGGACTTATTTGGTCCAGATTCGTTACCATGGGCAAGAGGGTTGGGTTAACTAGTACTTGATTGGGATTTGTGGGAATTGTGGGGTGACCATAAATTCCGTAGATGATAGCAGGAATTGCAACGAGGACGGTCCATGCGAGAATAGGAGATATAGCTCCTTATATAGAGTTTCCTTCTACAAGCCACATTTTATACCTACTGCAGTATAAGTAGTATAGCTTAGCTGTTTGACTAAAAGATATTGGCCTTTCCTAGTGCGGGATTGCAGTTATAGATCCATACTATCTTCTAGTAGCCCCAAAACACACATCAATGTTTCTTACGTTGGCCCATAATACATTCAATCGCGAATCCCAGACAGCGTAACAGCCACGCCGTACCCTGCAGGCTCATCTCCATACAGTGAGGCGCCAGTGGTATAATCACACTCTCAACCTTAGGACTCTTTGTCCGGAATATTTCGGTGAATTGCATGGTGCATTCTTCCGAAGAGTCCCAAAAGCCATCATGGTCACCTATCGCATATAGAAAAGGCACAGTAACCCGCTCGGCATACAAATGCCAGTAGCTCTGCCACATTGTGCAGACATCATATAGCTCACCCAGGGGAACCGGCTTGTTAAGGGCCTCTGTGTGCGAGGAGACTTTCGGGTCGACAAGCAGTACTTCATTTGCTTTGGGCGGAAAGTTAAGCATCAATCTATCCTTCACATTAGGATTGAAACGAATATGCGTTTGTTGCTCGTCTGCTTGGTCGCTGTCACGGCTTCCATGGCTATCCCCCTCATTTCTGTGACTTGGATTTGGCGACTCATGCATGTGGCTCTTGCAGCCGATTCCAGACACGGCCAGCCCTGCCAGAGGATAACTTTTCGGTTCTGCAGCAGCCACGATGGCCATCATTCCCCCTATCGAATGTGCCAGTACCACCATACTGGATGCACTGGATCCAAATTCTTTCCACAATGGTAGAATAGTCGAGTTGAGGTATTTACCTTGTTCCTGGACGAATGTAGTGTATCGTCTTTCGAGATCTTCATTCTTGACTTTTGGATCGGGGTAGGCCGTGCTACCACCATATCCTGGTCTATCGATCGCAACGACGGGTATCTGAAGAGTCTCTCCGAGCGTGAATATGGAATACTGAGAGTCGATGTCGAAATACTCGGAATCATAGCTTGCTCCATGTATACAGACGATAAGGGGTATCAGCCGAGATGTTCCTGATGTTCGAGGCTGCGTGGGAATGAAGGAGCGGCCTGTGAGGGTTCTTTCATCCTCTAGTTTCAACACGAACAGTTGCATGATGATATATTTGTGTATTCTAGCCGTACGGTATGGCCGGAAATCAGGAGTGAGGGGTTTTAAGTGCCGCTGTGTTAGCGCTTCATCCACTTGGCAGTCCTCGACATTTATATGTACACTCTCGGTGATACGGGGATAATATACTGTGTTATCCCTGAGAATTTCAAGGCACTCGACCCATCCCCGGTCATTCGAGCTGGCCGAATGGCCGAGTTACAAAATAAGTATGATTGGTCATGGATATACTAAAACTTCACTCCTGCAAGGAAGGATAGGAACAAGATAAGAGGCCAGAAGTGAACCTGAGGTATGAATACTGATCATATCTCTTCTCTAAGGGTAGAAGGAAACTTGCAAAAGCGCTGGTAGCAGATTGATTCTCTATCCCGCTTTCTCAATATGAGTACATTGATCATACTAAAAGCCCCTTGCGGAAAGAGGTCATCAGGACTAGTTTGAGGACTGCACAGTCGAAACATGTAAAGTTTAGTACTGCATGCCGGGTCTGCACCTGTATACTGTATGTTAGGAATTGAAGGGCAAATGCAAAATGTATGATGATATCATATTTCATTGGCGGTCTGCGGAGTAATGCACGCCGGGATAAAATAAGATAAAAGAGCACTAGTTTACTACCACTCCGTACTAGTAGTAATATTGGATCGTCCTGCAAGGTGGGAGCAATAAGAGATGAAAGGAAGCAAAAAAAGCGAGGGATCTACGGGACATTTAGGAGATTTTACTAACAATCTTCTACTTTATTCGGGTGACGCACACGGCTGTTGAATGATTGAGTCGCCTTTTCAAGGCTTGACATCAGAGTTGCTGATCTTTGCCAGGGATCTTGTTGGGAAAGAATGGTGGGGTAAGAAGAGGAAAGCAAATATGTGGACTTCCATTCAATCTAGTGAGCATGAATGGCTGCCTGAATAAAGTTAGTTTAATTTACATACGCTTTGTTACACGCGCCTCACGTGTTCGGGGGGTTCTCCGGATTTCCTCGTTCACGTTGTTATTGCAGCTGCTCTTTCAAGTTTCAAGTTTCCCCCCTCCCTTTAAACTACAAGGAAGAATTTTCCGGGGATGTTTGCTTTAATCTCAAAGGATAGTTGTTTTGTGGCGGATATCCTGGGACTCTGAATATAACTTGATCTACAGCGTCGGAAGAGTAAATTTAATTGGGAATTTGATTTATCAGATGATGTGCGTTTGGTCCCGTGTTTGGCTCCATGTATTGATCTGTGGGTCATCTGCCATCGACGCTGTTTTAAACTATCTTGAGAACAATGGTTCTTGCTTCTCCTTTCTTCCACCACTGCAGTCAGGGCTCGTTTACTATGAATAGCCCTCCCTCTCCTTGACTGCTTGCTATCTTTCTCTTCAATCTGACTATTCTTGTGATTTGACTTCTTTATCGCCCTTTTGTTTGAGACCTTTTGTTGAAGATTAAGCCCACCACGTTTCACCGCCGCTTCCAGCCTCGAACAGGGCAGCTCACCTGAGTCAACAGAGATTGAAACGCAGTATTGATCTTCTCTGAATTTTGTGGCGAATAATATGTTTTGGTATACTTACTCCGTTACTCTGGGTGCCTTGCGGGTGGCTTGTGTTAACCAGGGAATCAGATCATTACGTCTAACTCCGAAGTACCTACCGCTTCAACATGCCTCGCTCTGTCCCATCCAACTTCACTTCCCTTTCGCAGGAAGGCGGTCAAGCTCCGAGTGAAGATGATCGTCAGAGATCTCTCTCCCGAACGGCTCCCCCCTCCCCGTCTGCGGTCAGACGACAACACAGCTATCTCTCGGGGGCACATACCGGTTATCAGTCATTACAACCACCGTTGGAGATTGGCGAAACAACCAGCTTGCTAGGGAAAGACCGAGAGAGCCGTCGGGGTGTACGACGGTCATATACCAATATTTCTACTGGTTCCGGACCCGATACCAGTTTTCGACACAACTTGTTGGCTGGGAACTTCCGCCGATCACGCCATCACAGCCGTGCTCCCTCCCAAGCATTGCGAGTCAGCCGGCGGGAAAGTATAGATGCGGATCAAGCTGAGAGTCTTGCTGCATCGGCCAAAGACGGCCTGAACTCTTCGTTTATGGATGATCGAACGTGGTATGACCAATTCACCTCCACCGACTGGGTACATGATAGTATTGCGGACGGTGAGCGCCTTCGACAGTTGCGGGCGCGGAAAGACCTGCGGGGTCGACTTCTAGCATGGTTTGATGGTGCTCAGGGCTGGGTTCTCGCTGCGCTAATCGGCTGTATCACGGCCGCTATTGCTTATTTCGTGGACATAACCGAACATTCTGTGTTTGATCTCAAAGAAGGATTTTGTACTACGCAATGGTTTCGTAGCCGTCAAGAATGTTGCAGGGACAATCCCATGTGCTCTGCATGGTGGTCATGGTCCAAGATGCTAACCTTCTCAAGCACGGACAATCAATGGACGGACTTTGGCATGTACGTAGCTTGGGTGGTTATCCTGTCCGTCATCTCTTGCTCCCTCACGTTGCTCACGAAGACGGTTGTTCCTTCGTCGGTCTCTTTAACGACACTGGATGAAAACCTGGGTGCAGCATCGTCGCAAGGTACAAAACACACCGATGCAACTGCTGATAGCCCAAACTCCGATACCAGTCCGCGGACACCATATTCCGCGATTCCCACGCGTCCTGATATGGTTTACTATTCTGCGGCGGGTAGTGGGGTTGCTGAAGTGAAAGTCATCAACAGTGGTTTTGTTTTGCACGGGTATCTGGGTTTCAAAACACTGGCAATCAAGACCATTGCTTTGATTTTCAGTGTGTCATCTGGCCTAAGCTTAGGCAAGGAGGGTCCGTATGTCCATATCGCCACCTGCGTGGGAAACATCTGCTGTCGCTTGTTCGCCAAATACAATCGCAACGATGGAAAAAGACGAGAGGTGTTGAGCGCGAGCGCTGCGAGTGGTGTTGCAGTAGCTTTTGGGGCTCCCATTGGTGGTGTTCTCTTTAGCCTCGAGGAAGTTAGCTATTATTTCCCTCCGAAGACGCTATTCAGAACATTCTTCTGCTGCATTGCTGCTGCACTCTCTCTGAAATTCCTCAATCCTTATGGAACGGGTAAGATTGTTCTGTTTGAGGTTCGATATATCAACGATTGGGAGATCTTTGAGCTAGTGATATTCATTCTTTTGGGTGTGCTGGGAGGCGCTCTTGGAGCCCTTTTCATCAAGGCATCTAGTTTATGGGCTCGCTCATTCCGGCGAATCCCGGTTATCAAGCGTTGGCCACTGCTGGAGGTAGTTCTTGTCGCGCTGGTGACTGGCCTAGTCAGCTTCTGGAATCGTTATACTAAATTGGCCGTATCCGAACTTCTGTTCGAGCTGGCCAGTCCTTGCGATCATGAATCCTCATCGCCAACCGGGCTGTGTCCAAACGAAGATGGCATTGTCGAAATTATCCGCTACCTCCTTGTTGCATTCGTTATCAAAAGCCTGTTAACGGTAGTTACATTCGGCATCAAAGTGCCGGCCGGTATCTACGTCCCGTCCATGGTTGTTGGTGGCCTCTTGGGACGGATCGTTGGTCATGTGGCACAATATTTCGTGGTGAAATACCCATCATTCCCCTTGTTTGGGTCCTCCTGCCCAGCTGTGTCGGGGATGGAATCGTGTGTGACCCCAGGAGTGTATGCGATGATCGCCGCAGGGGCTACCATGTGTGGTGTCACCCGCTTGTCAGTTACATTGGCCGTCATCCTCTTTGAACTGACAGGTAGTCTTGCCCATGTCCTTCCGTTTTCTTTGGCCATCCTTTGTGCCAAATGGACTGCTGATGCGATCGAGCCCCGCAGCATCTATGTAAGCATCCACTGAAACTCAAGGTATTCTGCTACCGGATTACATGCTGACTTGGACAGGATCTCTTGACTGATATGAATTCGTACCCGTTCTTGGATAACAAGATACAGGTCGTGTCAGATGCAGAGCTCGGGGACCTCGTGAGACCTGTACGCAAGAGTCGTATCATTGATATCTCAGACTCTCCGTTCGTACCAGCGACAGAGTTGCGCTCCAAGCTTCAAACTCTTCTCATGGCAGGAGAATTAGATAGTGGTCTCCCTATATTACGCCACGATGTCTTGTCTGGGTTGATTCCAGCCCCAGACCTCGAATATGCGCTGGACAATCTCGAGGACGAAGAAAACACGTTATGTCTGATGACGCTAGATACGATGTCAGTTGTGTCCGACAGCGATGATGAAGATGCCATTCGAGTAGACTTTAACCGTTATATTGATCCGGTATGTGAACAGAAATCCCCATATCTCATCACAAGCTGATGCATGTATAGGCCCCTATTGCTCTTGATATCCATTCACCCGTAGACCTTGTTTACCAGTGCTTCGCTAAGCTAGGCCTACGGTACCTATGCGTCCTTCAAAATGGACAGTACGCGGGTCTGGTCCATAAGAAGGCTTTTGTGAAGTTCATGAAAGAGAATGAGTGATTCTCTTTAAGCAGCTCGAGCCGCTTGCTGTAAAAGAGAATGCAACCGTACACATATTGTCAACGTCTTCAAAGCATTGATCGGCGTTATGTTTCGGTACCTGCACGCATTCCTGGTCTTGGGAAGCATCTTTTTTTTTTTTTTTTTTTTTTTTTTTTTTTTTTTTTTTTTTTCTTTTTTTTTTTTTTTTTTTTTTTTTTTTTTTTTTTTTTGCATATATTTGAGCTTGAGCATCGTGCACATGCTGATCTTACTATAAACTGTACTTTTCTTAGCGCTGTTTCTACTACCAAGTGTGTATCAGCGGGGGATGCCTGTATACTTAATTATGTTTGACGGAGTTTGACGTCTTTGTTGATAGATATGTCTTCATTAGCAAGCGCCTCTTTGACTGCAGATGCCTAGCATTGAACCTCAGATGGGGAAGACTCACCGTATATAGATTATCATTGCACAAAGCAATCGAACGCTATCGTTATATACAAATGAGAGGCTAAGCTGCGCACAGTGCCCACAACTTCAATTGACCCGTTCATATCCAACCATCTGAATCCTAACCTCGCCTTCATCTTTCCATTCCCCCGTGACAGGCTCACCCACCCACTCAGTCACTTCCTCCGCACTCACCTTCTTCCATCCCTTCTCCGTGAGCAACTCCTCGTCAATCGGAAAGAAAGTATCGCACTCAAACCCAGCCTTCTCCCCATCCCACCCCTTCTTCTCAACATTCGTCATAACAATCCTAACCGGCCGATCCCCTCCCAACCCCAAAGCAGCCGCATAAATCTCCGCACCCCCAATCACAAAAACACTCCCCAACCCCCCTTTAAACTTCTCCTCCACATCCTCAAGCGCCGCTTCCAACCCAGAACTAACAATCGCATCCGTAACCGGCCCCTCCTCCTTATTCTCCCCAGCAGAAGTAGCCGCAGCAGTAGCGGCATCCATTTTCGCCCTCTTCCTCTCCAATTCCTCCGAGACCCGTTTACTCACACCCGCCACATCCCGCGTAACAACAACACTAATCCTCTTCCCCAGCGGCCGCAGACTCTTAGGCACGGAATCATACGTCTTCCGGCCCATGATCATGGCATTTGTTGTACCTGGGCGCGGGGGGCGGGTTGTCACGCGCGCAAAGAAGCTCATGTCAGCTTTTATGCGCGGCCAGGGGAGCGTGCCATTTAGACCGATTCCGAGGAGGGTTTTTTCGCGCGTGGGGACTGGGGTCGTTGCGACTATTAGGGTGAGGGGGTTCGTTGGTGGCATTTTTGGTTAGCTTGGGGGGGTGGTGAGGGGTTGGTTGCTTTTCTTCTGGGTGGGCAGTGTTGGTTGGGAGGCTGGGACTTTTTCTTTAGTGATGGGATGTGTAGAAGGTTTTGGTTGTTGTATAACTATATCGTTATGTTTAGAAGTAGGTCAAAGAGTTGTTGATGGAATGTATAAGTTGGAGCTGAGTTGGTGCACGCTTGCCTTATCGGGACATTTATGGGTGGAGCCCTAAGGTACCACTACATTGACCGCCTACCATTATTAGCGGTGTATCTCTGTATTAGAAGGCGGTCTTTGATGAGGTTTGTTTGAATCCCCGACCGGGGAAAAGGGCTTTTTTGCTTGATTTTGGGAATAATAAGATCTCAATTGTACTACTCTGTATTGAGCTGAGAATTACATGGGATAATCATCATCTAGTAAGCTAGATTCTGGATTTTTTTGTACAAAAGTAATCATTCGTTATAACGTAGGAGCCTTGCAAGCCTAGCATCTCTGCTGTTCTGTGGTGCAACTGATGGAGTGTTCAATTTATTCTGCCACACAATCAATTGGTTATCTTATCGCGATCACTATGAATCGATACTTACAAACCATGTGCATCTTTCCAAGAGACAACTTCTCACTATCATTTAACATGTCTTAAACAATGGCACGGAGATTAGCAGTAAGAGTCTTGCCTTCTGTTATCTATAAACTTTGATGATTTTGAATGATGATTGATCTGCCCATGTTTTATATATATTTTTATTCGATCTACTAACTTAGAATGTTAAACAAACTGCAAGACACTCCGTGCTATAGTAGATCGTGGAAATATGTCACATCTGGCTAGAGGTCACCATGGCTATTGGAAAAGATGTTGGAGTTAGGGACTTTCAATTGCCTTCCATTGCATAATAGGTACGAATTGGCAAGGCCTACGCAATCTATTTCAAGAAAATTAGTGCAGGAATACATTTAAAAGATATACATTCAAGAGTATCACAACAAGGATACTGCACACGCCATATATCTCCATATATGAAGGATGAAGGAAGAAGAAGGATCGAAACCACTAAAGCACACTTGGTACATAACAGCCACTTCAACAACATTCTAAAGCAATGCCGCTCGCCACCCCCGAACTTTACAAAAGCAACACCCCCCCAAACTAAAGATCCTTGTTACCCCCCGAGATACATCGATCATCTGTAGCAAACTGTAGATCTTCAAGCGAGTCCCCGCAGTATTTCGTCTTATCCCAGGTGTCCTTCCGCCCTACAAGGAGCGATCCACGCCAGGAACTACCGTGAGACATCCGGAAGCACTCCTGCTCACATATCCAATAAGCCCTATCCCTCATGGTCTTTCTGATGGCGCCTTGAATGGTCTCGAGCCGGGCATTGGTACTGCACGTAGAGCCCTCGGTATGGGACTGGTAGCACCACTTGAACTCCTCTTCCTCGCCGCATATTTCTGCGCATACGTTTTCGTCCGACAATTTTTTGATCGTGACTGCCATTGGACGGAGCCATGCATCTATGGCTGCTTCGCCGTTGCTGTAATTGCAGTACGGGTAGTCGCCGATGAACCGCATCGGACACATTTTGATGGAGTCCCGTTTCTCTAGGCCTCGTGCTGCGAGGTCGTTTTCGGTTATGATGAGATCGGGATTATACTCGAGTCCCTGTTCTGATGGAGGCAGAGATGCGGTAAGTGCTGGAGTTGCGTGCCAGCAGGCGAACACGAAGAGTAGACTTTGAGCGAATAACATGGTTAATGAGGTTGTTGATGATGACAGCAAGACTGATCAAATTCTCTGACGAGATGACTGAGTAGACTTAGACATTCCCTAGATAATGACTCCAATTGGGAAACAACAGGTAATTGTCCCCTTATGATAATGTAGACTGTGTCTGACTTTATACTCCTGCCTCCTTTGTTCTTGTGATAAGGCTTAGAGCAATAATATCAAGAATATTGTTTTCCCCTAGGAGACGGCTAGACAAAGAACTTGAGTTAGAACTCCAAAAAAAAAACCCTCTGGTTAAAATCACTCTGGTTTTGGCCCCGTTGCCCGACGCCCCGTACTAGTATATGGCCTTTGATACACTGGACTAATGTGCTTTTTGTATAATCACGAAATCCTGAATGGCCCCGTGTCTTGCCAGGAACCCTAGGCCATACAATATTAGTTTTTTGATAAGACAAAATAGTTTATGATGAAGCACCTTAGGGTCTATTTCAATATAAAGCACGTTCCACTCCACGAAAGCTGTCTACATATAACAGAGTGTGGCTAGGCTCCATAGCCATAAGGAGGAGAACAAAGTAAATAAGGCGGGGCAGTAGAGAGAGGGTAGTATATACATTGTTGTTGTGGAAGATTTCCAAATTTACATGATCCTACCTAAAGAATTGAGGCTTGATTGTAGCAGTGCCTTGTAAAGTAGACTTCTCCAAGTCATCACTTATATGTTCTCAGCTGGGTAACCGGCGCCCTGCGATTAACTGACAGAATGTGTCCAAGTCCTTTAGGAGAAGATGCTGAAAACTTTCAACATTGCTTTCTTGGTTCTCAGGGAACGAAGCCCGTGGGGCTGGATGATTGGGATTACTCCCCTGCTCCTAACTGCGAGTGACCTAGACTACAAGGTATTTGCTAGCATTAGTCTCAGCAAGTTATAGAGAAAGAAAATGCAGCTGGATACTCGTAGACCCCTTGCTGGTAGGTTGCTGGGGGTATTGAAGGGAGTCAGCGACGCTTTGGTCTCTATAGCAATATCGATAATAATCTTATCGATGAATTGACGGCCCCGGGGGAATGAACGCAAAGACATAACTCTTGTGCTAAGGATGTCAGAAAGAACTCGTATGAATTCCAAATTGTAGTGATGGGTATCTACAATACAAGCAATAATGTACAATAGAAATAGTAAGCCCCTCCAGACGCCAATGATGCAATATCCATAAAACCACGCCGGAACCGAAGCCTAGAAAAACACCGATACTCAAATGTCACCAAGAAGATCATTTAGCTGGTTTCAACAGGCCGCCTTCCTCGATGGCCTTCTGAATAGCATCTGCGTCCCTCTCTAGCTCCTCTCGCCGCTTCACGTCCGATTCGTCTTCGCCGAGAGTGTTGAGCTTTCCAAAGAGCCAGGTTTCTTTCATTGTACGGGTTAAAGAGAGAATATCTTCGGCGGCACGGACCTGTGATTGGTCGGGTTAGTGACAGGAACTAGTGCTGTTAAGGTCTGCACAAGGTAAATATATGGATGTACTATACATACCAAAGCAGTCGATTCAACGTCGAGTTGGTATGTTTCTACTGCTGTTGAAGTATGGCTGGTACTCTCAACCTGTGTATTATTGGGGTCAGTTAAGAGGATCATTATAGCGCAAGGAGAAGACATACTGTTGCTGTTGCCATTATATTCTCGAATCTTTGAAGTAATTGGGAGATATTGGTGTTGATGCGATCTGCGGAGTATGCTGATTAGAAATGCGGGTGGAATGGTGACGTTTATACATGTCAATGTGGTGGTATGGGTTGCGCACAATGCAATGCCTTGGATGTTGGCTGGGAGTCCATTTTCGCGTTCTCAGGGCAAACTATTCAGTGATGATGCGTTTGTTAGTAGATAGTTGTTGGAGTTGATAACTGATAGAGATAATTACTATCTGCGATGAAGGCGGCTTGTCTGGCGGTGGATATTATTGCCGACATTATTGTATCCGTTGATCATTACTAAAAAGGAGTACTACCTGTAGATCATGCTTGGCTTGATTATATCACTTCGAACACAAACTTAGAATACAGCAATACTGACCCGCGATTACTTCTATTTTCGATGTGGATGTGTCAGAGTGCTTGCAATTCCAGTGTACATTAGCTGTAAAGGGAGTCTGGCTATGGTAGTCTGGCTATGGACCATGGCTGGTGCTTGGAGAGGGCAAAGAGATCTGGGAAGCCATGAAAACAATGAGTAACCCCAGTGACATTGAAAGAGCCATATGACGTTTCTCATGAAATCGTGGCTCCGGTAATAAAGGACTTCAGTCATTGTGCTCCAGTCTCAGTGAGACAACGTTGCCCACTGTATTCCACTTGTTCCAGAGGAACCTCCCACCGCAGATAGATCAGTAAAACTCTGCCTGATATACAAGCCGTTATGTGAGCGCAGTATCCGGCGCAGGCATCGACTCGGCGCCAGAAAATTATATCATGACAGTTCACCAAACCATCGAAATGTCATCGAGTCATTTTTGTATTGGTATCAGTGACTCCATATTACGATGGTGCATCCAATGTTTAGTTTGGATGAACCGTAGCAGGCTTCGCGCAACTTATCTGACGTACTTGCCCTACACGTATGTGTTAGTAGAAACGTCAAGGAATTATGAACAGGTATAACCTACCATAAACCTCTTGTGGAAGTCCGATCGCAACAGATCCTATATGTGATTAGCGCCAAGTCAACACGACCAACCTGGACAAGCTTACGTTAACAAACTCCTTTCCTCTCTTATCCTCGGTTCCCCTGGCTTGGTTTTTGAAGACCACATCGTCATCCCAGCGGCGTTTCAAGTTAAAGTCCTGAGCGTTAAGCAGCGGGTTTCCCTTGGCAATATCATATTCCCGTTTCTCTTCCTCTTCAGCAGCACGTTCGCGCTCTTCTTTCTCCTTCTGTTCTTGTCTCTCCTTCTTGATCTTTTCCAATTCTCGCATCAACTCGGCGGCCTCATCTTCTTCATCGTCACTGAAGACTTTTTGTCAGCATAGCTGACTTGCCTGCAAATCAAAGCAACAAACCTTTCTTCTTCACTACTGTCATCCCCTGACCCATCTGAGTCTGCATCTATGTCCCGCGTCTCCTCTAGTATTCGCCGCCGTTTGGCTTCCGGATCTTCATCCTCTGTCCCAACCGAATCACCGCTAGATAGACCGCCTTCTAATTGGAGTTTGGGTGCTGTGTTCTCGATAGCTGGTTCATTTACGGGGATACCCCTCTTCTTCGCAAAATGAGCGGCTTCGGCTTGGAGTAATTCGGCGCGCAAATCGCGTTGTTGAGCTTCACCTTCACCACCCTGGCCGAGTTGACTTGAACATATTAGAGGTGATCATGCCCACAGCACAGATCCGACTTACCGAGTCTTCAAGTGCGTATGTGCTGGAAGCAGTCGTTGGTGGTATGCGGGGCCACGCAGGGCCTCTTTCCCTTGTGCCTGTTCTCCGTGAGTCTATATTTAAGTATTCCCGAATAGAAGTAGACGCATACTGGATCGAATGTGGGCCTGTGTGCTATATGTGGATTAGCGCAATGTTTACCGCAATACTCTATCTCAAGCCTTTCTCACCTGTAGTCATGGTGGGCAACAGAATTTGCGTTTGGGAAATTTCCGACGGTTGTCGTTCAAGGTTGAATGACCGCCAAAGCAGTTGCACCGCGGATGGCCTCAGGTTGAAGGCTGAATCAGCGAGTGCACACCGCCTTTGGAGTACGCTACATGTGATTGGGTTATGATGATCGACATCCTGAGGAACAACTTTGGCCCGCTCTTCAATGACGCTGCGGAGTGCAGGAAATTTCTATAGAAAGTCCGTCTTGCTGACCCCGCTGGGGCCGAGTCCGCCTCCACAACCATGAACAAAGAAGCACCGCTCTCAATTGCCGAGCGCGACTTCATCCTCAATGCTCTGCGTGAGGATGTAAGACTCGATGGCCGTCAGGCCGATCAATTTCGTCCCTTAAATGTGTCGTTCGGCGAAGAATACGGGCATGTGAAGGTCCAGCTTGGCAAGACCAGGTCCGTATTATGCTGCTCGAGGTACAATTTTCCGATATAGATATTAATCTCATCCTACAGCCTCATTGTCCGCATCTCGTCTGAAGTTACAAAACCCCATGATGACCGTCCATTCGATGGTATCTTCACTATTGCCCTGGAGTTGACCGCTATGGGCTCTCCCGCTTGGGAGAATGGCCGGTACGTTTATCTCACAACTCACAATGTCGGGGAATATGTAGCTAATAACACCTGGGACAATAGCCAGGGGGACCTTGAGACTTATGTGTCCAACGTCTTAGACAGAGTGATCCGTCATTCGAACGCCCTTGATACGGAATCGCTTTGCGTTTTGAAGGGTGTCAGCTGCTGGAATGTTCGGGCAGACGTGCACATCACAGACTACGATGGCAACCTGATTGATGCGGCCTGTATTGGAGTTATGGCGGGTCTTCAGCATTTCCGTCGGCCAGATGCCGTGGTCAAGGACGGTCAAGTGATCGTCTACGGAGTCGACGAGCGGGTCCCAGTCGCATTGAATATCACACACAAACCATTGTCGATCACATTTCATACCTTTGATGAAGGAAAGCGGGTCATTGTGGACGCCACTCGAAAAGAAGAGCAGGCCTCTGAGGCGGACGTGGTCATGGGCTTGAATAATGCAGGCGACGTATGCTACCTATCAAAGTTTTCTGGGTCCCCGGTTAGTGCCATGGTGTTCGTGAGCAAGTCATCCGTTGCACTTGAGAAAGTGAAGGAGATCAACGGCATCATTGACAAGGCGCTACAAGCTGACCTCGCAAAACGGGCTAAGGGCAGCTTGATGGAGGAGTCTAGAGCGACGAACGATCGGTAGACATGCGAACCTGCCATAACTTCAATCTATCTTTTCAAATGAAATCAATGTCCTTAATACGCTTAAGATTTGTTGTATCATAGATATCAAATAACGGAGTCTATTATGTGTTCTTGGCAATTCTCAACTACGATCAAAGACCCTTCTACATAGACAGGAACCTCCCTTTTTTTCACCTTTTTTTCCCCGCTCTCCGTTTTGCCTCCTTGAATGCAGACATCTTCGGAGTACACCGTAGATAGGGTACTTTGAGTTGCGGCCAGGCAGCAATCACCAGTGGGACTGCATTTCCCATCTGGTTTCAAGTAAAATTGGACCCACGGTGGAGAGAAAGTGACAGATTTAATTTAAAAATGCAAACCCAACACTCGGCATTGCAGCGCTCATGCTTTCTTCGGACGTTCTAGAGCTCGTTCGTCGTTACAGTTCCAGGCACCACAGGGACTTCTGAATAATAGGAGCTCTCTTAGTGATAGCTTACCGTTCATCGGGTACTTCAACATCAGAGAGACTCTATACGAGTGCTACAGCCCCTGTCTTAACAAGCGTTCTTCAAGAGGCTTCAAACCCGTATGCGTTCGGGTAATTCGATTGGAACTATACTAGTATTTAGGTAAAAAGACTTTCATTCTTATTGGTATGTGTCAAGAAATTAAAGTGGGTTATATAGTCCAGTAGGAAGGGTTGAGAAAGACTCGGGAGACCAGACAACCCAGAAGAGTTAACAGGCATTGAAAGGCCTGTTCGGGATTAAATATAAGTCGACTTAATGAGATATTATCTTTATAATGATGCATAAAATATGACAAAGCGAGATTCTCGTTGTACTTGGTCAAGTTTCAAGTATTTCAGGAAATCCAAAGAATCTGTCTCAGTTGGCAGTTGTCAGCCACGTTGGGTGGAAAATTTCCGACAGGCGCATACCAGAGATCTCTTGTCGTCTCATTTTATGAAGAAGAACACTGGTACTCTGGGAGGGCGGAGTGGGGAGCGAGACGCGCATCGTCGAGGCGCAGGGACGCTTATTTTGGATTTATTTTTAAAACCATTGGCGAGACAGGGACGAATTAATTGACTTAATTTATCTGCCCAGTTCTTAATTACCTATTTTTATGAGACTAATCAAAGAATTGAACTGAAAGAAAGAATTAACCCAGGAACTACAGAGTAGTAATCTCATACTAAGTAAAGTGCTACTAACTAACTACTGAGTAGTTAGTAGGAGTATTACTTACCAGTACAGTAATCGAGAGGGAAGATCCCCAAAAATAAAGAAAAAACCACCCCCCCAGCCACTGACGGAGATCCAAAACAACACCGCCCAAGACTAGCGTTAAAGCCGCATCCCAACGAATAATAAACCTTCTTCCAGGCAGTCGTCAGATTTCCTCCATTCTGTCACCTTCGGTTTCCGTTCGCTTCGAGTTTCATGATTATTGCTTTTTTTTTTTTTTTTTTTTCCCCCTCTTGCACTCCCTTGCGCAAACCAAAACCTCGCGGGCTGTAGTCGGTCCATACTTGCATCGTCTCGCTCCTTTTTCCGTCCCTCAAGTCACTGTCGATCAATGCTCCAGGGGCATAACGTTGCTCTGACGGTGTCTACCCGCCTCGAGCATCATGGCCAGCGGTAGGCCTCCCGGTCACCACCCAGCCGCTGGCCGCGATGACGACCTGCTGCAGCTGGAGGACACGACCCCTATGTATAATCCTGGACAGGGCCCGCCCGTCAACGACGACCATTTGTTGCGACAGTACAATATCGATGATTCCGACTACCCCCAGGCGCGACCTTCAATTTCCTATGACCAGTTTGTCGGCGGACAGGCGCCGCCGCACTCCGGTGCTCATGCGACAGTCTCCGCGCATCCTCCGCCGCAGTCCGGGGCGTACATAGGCGATCCTTACATGGGGGCCGCCAATGTATCTCGAACCTATTCTCAAACCTCGGGCTTGGATAACTACCGACGTTATTCCGTCGACGAATACGATGATGGGTACTACCATGTGGATGATCATGATGATTATATGCAGTCCGACCATCGTGTACCGGAGGCGAATCAGCGGAATAGTATACTGGGCTTGGGAGGCGGGCTTATGGGAAGAGCAAAGCACATGCTGGGCATGGGTCAGGAATACTCGGACATGAACCTTCCTCTCACTGAGGCTGGTGCAAGGGCGGCACGAGTTGACAGCGCCGAACACGCCGAGGGGGGCATACCCCCGAGTCAGAAAAAGTCGAGGAAGTCGGATTTCAAGTTTGGTTTCGGGCGGAAGAAGGTCGACCCTTCGACTCTCGGACCTCGCATGATCGTGTTGAACAATCCCCCGGCCAATGCGGTGCATAAGTTCGTCGACAACCATGTCTCCACAGCAAAGTATAATATCATCACCTTCATTCCGAAGTTCTTATACGAACAATTCTCGAAATACGCCAATTTGTTTTTCTTGTTCACCGCTGTCCTCCAGCAAATCCCAAACGTGTCGCCGACAAATCGTTACACGACAATTGGTCCATTGCTGATTGTGTTGTTGGTCTCTGCTATCAAAGAACTTGTAGAAGACTATAAGCGGCGCTCTTCTGACAAGTCTCTGAATTACTCAAAAACTCAAATCCTGAAGGGATCGGCATTCCACGAAACGAAATGGATCGATGTCGCAGTGGGAGATATCGTTCGCGTTGAGTCAGAGCAGCCCTTCCCCGCTGATTTGGTTCTGTTGGCGTCTTCTGAACCTGAGGGCTTGTGCTACATCGAAACCGCCAACTTAGATGGAGAGACCAACCTAAAGATCAAACAGGCAATTCCGGAGACCGCACATTTGGTGAGCCCCGCTGATCTTAGCCGACTGAGTGGCCGGGTTAGGTCGGAGCAACCGAATAGCAGCCTCTACACCTATGAAGCTACCCTGACGATGCATGCCGGAGGGGGGGAGAAGGAACTCCCTCTGGCACCGGACCAGCTTCTTCTTCGAGGAGCTACCCTGCGAAACACGCCGTGGGTTCACGGTATTGTCGTTTTCACTGGCCATGAGACGAAACTGATGCGAAACGCGACAGCGACTCCGATCAAGCGGACGGCTGTAGAGCGCATGGTCAATGTTCAGATCCTCATGTTGGTCAGCATTCTGATCGCTCTTAGTGTTATCAGCTCCGTCGGCGATCTTATTATCCGACAAACCGCAGCCGACAAACTCACCTACCTTGACTATGGTAGTACGAACGCAGTAAAGCAATTCTTCCTGGATATATTCACATATTGGGTCCTTTATTCCAACCTTGTCCCAATCTCGCTTTTCGTGACAATTGAAATCGTCAAATACGCCCAGGCGTTCCTGATCAATTCTGACCTCGATATCTACTACGACAAAACAGACACTCCGGCCACATGTAGAACGTCGTCGTTAGTCGAAGAACTTGGGCAGATAGAATACATCTTTTCAGATAAGACAGGAACCTTGACTTGCAACATGATGGAGTTCAAGCAGTGTACAATTGGTGGCATCCAATATGGTGACGACATCCCAGAAGATCGACGAGCCACTGTAGAAGACGGAGTTGAAGTTGGGGTACATGACTATAAGAAGCTCAGGGAGAACCTACAAGGAGGTCATCCGACAGCAGACGCAATTCATCATTTCCTCACACTTCTCTCTACTTGCCACACTGTTATCCCTGAAAGATCTGAAAAGGAACCCGACAAAATCAAATACCAGGCAGCCTCTCCCGATGAGGGTGCTCTCGTTGAAGGTGCTGCAACGATGGGTTACCAATTCACGAACCGGAGGCCTCGCTCAGTGCTCGTCACAGTAGGGGGCCATGAGTATGAATATGAACTGCTGGCTGTCTGTGAGTTCAATTCGACGCGTAAACGAATGTCGACGATCTTCAGGTGTCCAGATGGGAAGATTCGAATCTACACCAAAGGTGCAGACACCGTCATTCTCGAGCGTCTCAATTCCGACAATCCCATTGTGGAGGCGACTTTGCAGCACCTGGAAGAATATGCTTCTGAAGGTCTCCGGACTCTTTGTTTAGCCATGCGTGAAATTTGTGAGGAAGAATTCCAGCAGTGGTACCAGATATACGACAAGGCTGCAACAACTGTTGGTGGAAACCGTGCAGACGAGCTGGACAAAGCTTCTGAGCTTATCGAGAAAGATTTCTACCTTCTTGGAGCTACTGCCATCGAGGATCGACTGCAGGATGGAGTCCCTGACACAATCCATACGTTACAGACCGCGGGCATCAAGGTCTGGGTTTTGACCGGTGATCGACAGGAAACCGCTATCAATATTGGAATGTCTTGCAAGTTGATCTCGGAGGACATGACGTTACTAATTGTTAATGAAGAGTCGTCTCAAGCTACTCGAGAAAACTTAACCAAGAAGCTGCAAGCTGTTCAGAGTCAGAATGCTTCGGGTGAAATTGAAGCGTTAGCTTTGATTATTGACGGACGCTCTCTGACATTCGCACTAGAGAAGGACATGGAAAAATTGTTCCTGGACCTTGCTATTCAGTGCAAAGCCGTAATCTGCTGGTAAGTTGTCATAGTCTGCTCCTATTAAACGCTCTGGTGCTGATAGCCCTCCCCTAGCCGTGTTTCTCCATTACAGAAAGCCCTGGTAGTCAAACTTGTGAAGCGTCACCTCAAATCCTTGCTTCTCGCTATCGGTGATGGTGCGAACGACGTGTCCATGATTCAGGCCGCACATGTTGGTGTTGGTATTAGTGGTCTTGAAGGTCTCCAAGCCGCTCGGTCTGCCGATGTGTCTATTGCTCAGTTCCGTTATCTCCGCAAACTTCTCCTTGTCCATGGCGCTTGGAGCTACCACAGAATCAGTCGTGTCATTCTGTATTCTTTCTACAAGAATATTGCCCTTTACATGACACAGTTCTGGGTAAGTGATGTTCTGATCTTCCATCCGCCGATTACTCTGAAAGCAACTGACAAAGACTTAGTACTCCTTCCAAAATGCTTTCTCCGGTGAAGTTATCTACGAGTCATGGACCTTGTCCTTCTACAACGTCTTCTTCACTGTACTTCCTCCATTCGCGATGGGCATCTGTGATCAATTCATCTCCGCTCGATTATTGGACCGGTATCCTCAGCTGTACCAGCTTGGACAGAAGGGGATGTTCTTCAAAAGGCACAGCTTCTGGTCATGGATCTTAAACGGTTTCTACCATTCCTTGCTACTATACATCGTCTCGGAGTTGATTTTCCTCTGGGATCTTCCTCAAGCAGACGGCAAGGTTGCTGGCCACTGGGTATGGGGATCTGCTCTGTACACGGCAGTCCTTGCCACTGTCCTTGGGAAAGCGGCACTGATCACTAACATATGGACCAAATACACGTTCATCGCTATCCCCGGATCAATGGTTATCTGGCTAGCGTTCCTTCCAGCCTATGGTTATGCCGCACCCGCTATCGGTTTCTCCACAGAGTACTACGGCACAATTCCCCATCTCTTCAAATCGCCTATTTTCTATCTCATGGCTATAGTCCTCCCATGTATCTGTCTTCTTCGGGACTACGCCTGGAAATATGCCAAGCGGATGTACTACCCGCAACATTACCACCACGTCCAAGAGATCCAGAAGTATAATGTGCAAGACTACCGCCCACGCATGGAACAGTTTCAGAAGGCAATCCGCAAGGTGCGCCAGGTTCAGCGCATGCGCAAACAACGCGGCTATGCATTCAGTCAGGCTGATGATGGCGCCCAAATGAGAGTCGTCAATGCTTATGATACCACGAGAGGAAGAGGTCGCTACGGTGAAATGACCAGTTCCAGAGCCTTAGTATAACGATCTGATTTTTTCTTTCTTTTTTTGTTTTACCTTCCTGTTCATCGCATCCATGTATTAGTTGCATTTGCAGCGGTCTGATGACCGACCTCCCTTTATCACTCTCTATCTCCCTCTTGCTAACCTTAACATTCATCTTCCTTCTTATCTCTCATTTTTTGGGCTATATTACACGATGCTGCTATTCTTTGCTTTCAGCTATCTACGTTCCCCCTTCCTATCTTCTCTATGAGTCAATGTGAAAATCTTGAATTTTGTGATATCAATTTCTTCGACTACACCACTTTGTTGATGTTTTTCTTGAACATGGATGACTTGTGATGTCTAGATAGGTTGAACAGACATGGGTGAAATTGCCCATCTTCTGTCGAAAGATTCTTCTACGTAAGTAAACCCGTGTAATTGCGTTAGACTCCATATCGTAAGTTAATCTCCATCGATCTCCGTAGTCGGCAATCAGTCTGATCTCACAAACTATTCGCAAGGTGACAGTGTCTAGACTAACAGAAATAGATAGGATACCAAATTCAGTAATTAGTACTAAAAGGAAACCAAGATCTTCCTCAAATCCTAGTATAGATACACATAAAAGCCTATTTAATAGCCATTACAGATTCGTGATTATTCACTACTAGTAAGAACAGTCAGCCATTAGACGTATAGGCAAACAGTTACCATCTCTCGAAAGCAACCATACCAAGTATTTCGGCGTTAGATGTAAACTCGTCAAGCATAAGTTTCGTCATCGACCATAGGGACCGCTGGTCATTATAAATATAGAGGAGGAGCCTTATGGTCGTTCTGCCAGCCACTCTCATGTCAATCTTAGGCTGAAGTGGGCGAGCGATTTTACTTTCAAGGTTGCAACGATGCGTTGAGATATTTGTCTTCCTGTTTCTTTTTTTAACCTTTTTTTCCCCCCCTTGAATTAAGAAACCAAGATTGGATTGACTGAAATTATATTATGTGTTACAAAAGTTTTGACCAGAAGCTATCTTGTACACCTCTCCCCAGCAGGCCTCCAACCAACCCCCAAGCCCTCCATAACAAGTCTCTCCCTTTCTTCCCACGTTCTCCCCTCCCGCTCAAGATCAATCACTTGTCCTCCAGTGGTACGTTCCCTAACCCCACTGGAATCAAATTTCCATCCCCGTGATTTCTTCGCGTATCGGCGCAGATCCCGTTCGAAGGTAGTATCGCCCGACCAGCCGAGGATGGCACATCCGACGGTGCGCCAGGGGGATATGATGATATCCACACGGCGGTGGGGGTTAGGGTTACGTTTCCGTTTCTGGCGAGATTGTTCTTCAGCATCTGCATCAGATGATGGAGTGGGGTCTGAGTCGTCATCGAAGTTCGGGTCTTGCCATACGACAAGCGCTTTGTCTAGACTGTCGAAGTGTTTCCCTGTATCGTCTCCCTTGTAGGGTAGAGTCTGTTGATCTCGATTTGATGTGGTCATATGCAAGGCTAGAGTATGTGTGATCCAGCCTTCTGATTCGAGGCTACCGACGATATCGACGACCAGATTCTTCGTTACGGACTCTTCACGGTGAGACAGGACAAGATCAACATCACCGCTGGCCTCCTTCCCACGTCGATACCCACCCACCACGATACATTCAACCCCACGGCCGTCGTATCGGGCATCTGGACGGACGAGATTAGCGTGACGATGGATGATCTTGGCAATGTCCTCAACTTCGTGGCGAGGGATACCCTGCAGGAACTCATCGTAGTATTTCACGCCGATTTGCTGCACGCGGGAGAGGCTGTTCCAGCCGTGTTCGACTACGTCGTCTAGATCTCGCCATTGGCGGTAGTAGTAGAAGTCACGGGCTGTTTTGGCACCTACGCCCCATATATTGTAGAATTCGTTTAGGACTCTGAGGACCGGGTCTGTGTCTAGTACCGTCGCAGCTTCGATGGTGCCATCTTCGCTTTGCTGGTATTCAGCGAAGAGGTTGGCGATCTTGGTATCGCAACCCGGTAGGGTGAGGATTTCGGATGGACGGCGGAATTCGTACGGGTAGGCGGCTATTGATGCAATGGAGGTGCTATAAGCTCTCACGCCAATTTCGTCGAGTGTCAGCTCTCGGATTTTACGGATTTTGACTAATTGATTGATGAATCTTTCGTTGGGTGGGTGGAGAGGCGCGGATCGCATGCAGGCGTATAGGGTATGGTTCTTGACCCAGCCTGGGGCTGGTGGCAAGGGGGCCATTTCTTCGTTTTCGGATGTAGTCTGTCGGTATAGTTTTGGTGGGCGATGTTGGCTAGATGGTGCTTCGTGTGTTCGGCGAGAAAACCGGTTAGATGGTGCCGGGGGTGGCTTGAGAAGGGTGTCTTTCTTTGCCCTTTGTAGTATATCGCTTGCCTGAGAGCCTCCTGCCTCTGTGACGTTCGGTTTAGTGGCAGGGCGCTCGACCTTGCGAGCTTCGTATACCACATACGGGTCAAAGGGCAAAAGCTCTTTTGCTTCAACACATCGGTCTAACCATTCTAAGCGGACAACTCGGAGTATGTCTGCTCCCTCCCCCGAACCTGAATGACCTGATACGACTGATAACCGATCAGTTGATACGGACCTTGGTCTCGGTCGCTTTAAATGTTTGCCGGTGCCATGTTTGCTTCGCACGCCGTCCTCTTCACTCTCCGTCTCCGTACTGAGATCAACCACGTCCACCTCCGTGACGACTTCCACAGGTCGCGGAGTGGGTTCATGGATGCCACCTCTCTTCGCTAAGACTGTTGAAGTCGAAAGGTCAAGGTCCTCTGTCCATACACCGCGGGATCTTAGCTCCAGAGCGGCCCGTTTCTTCTGTCCGATTTTGCCGAGAATCAATCTCGCCTCGGAAACATCGTAGGTTAGGCTTGCGTCTCGACTGACAAGACTCTCCTCTATTTGATGCAGTGATTCCAGACTGAGATGAGTAGGCAGCACGAAGATAGTCGGACAGGTGGAGAAGCTTGGTCCGTGACCGTCGTGTAAGGATGAGATGTCGGATAAATCATCAGACATGGCGGGGTATTATCTCCATCGCTCCGTATATATGTTAGTGCATTATATATAAAATAATGATTATATGTGCATATATGTAAAGATTCAATATAAACGCGGTGCAATACAAGTTGGGTACTAGGTCCCCATCATGCACGTTCAGTAGATAAATTGTCGTCAAGGGTTAGGCATAATTTATTTGAATTTAAGTTAGAACCTCGTATTAAATAATTGCGAATCGTGCCCCACAACTGACAGAGATTACTCAATTGCGCACCTGCAGTAACTTATCGGCAATAAGTATCAATAGGTGGACATCATAGTACAATATCTTGCCTTGAAGGTTTTTGGATGGCATGGCTGTAGCCTGTGATGTCATTATATCTCCTGCTGCCTGAGGCAGACTTTGTCTACCGGGGAAGGTACTTTATGAACTTTGTAATACATCACGCTTTATGCTAAAAGATAAAATTTCTATTTCGTCATGTGGTGTAAATCCCAATCAGTTTCATACTCTCATGTAGTCCGCCTTTATCCAACTCTAGGTTCATGCTAATAACATGCATGCATGCTGTTCCAATCCACCTCAAGCATGACCATCCACCGGCTCCACCGCAACCTGAGATGCAGCCTTCTTACTGACAGCACCGTAGTTAGCACCGGACGCGCCGCCCCGTTCTTCACTCAGAATAGGAGTCTCGCTTCTTGGTGCTGCGACATTGTCACGGTTTCCCTCTTCGTCCGTCACAATGGTCTTTCCGTGTCTTCTCGCAACCCATCTCCTCCATGGCTTGTATACGGCAACACTTAGACCACCAATGATGATGAATAACCCGCAGATCCCACCACCAATAGCATCGTAGTAGTCTCCGGCTGTCTGCACCCCATCCCAGAATTTACCCGTGGGCTCAGCGACGTTGAGCACCAGAGTGAGAAGCTGAATGACACCGATCACGATAGCAACGACGACAGTCAAGCAGGTTAGCACGATAGAGTAGTACAAGAACGCGATAGGGTCGCGGTGGTTCTGTGAGGGCTGAATTTCGTGATCTTCACCTATAAGTGGCGTCTCGGCGGTAGAGCTGCCTTCCTTTGGTGGGAGGAAGTTAGCAGCGGGCTGAATGTATAGCGAGAGCATGAGGGCCCCGTCAGTGGTGTCGAGGAGGCACATTCCAGCTAGGTGGATGTGAGTAAGATGGTTCACGAGTCACTGTATTGGTTCTAAACATACCTGTGAAGAGGATCGGGAAGATCAGAATGACCCAGAAATCTGTGCCCCGCGCAGCTTCAACAGAGGAAATACCAAGGAGAGCTATCTCCGAAGATGTATCGAATCCAAGACCGAAAAGAATACCAAGCGGGTACATCTTCCAAGGGCTGGGAATCTGTTAGCCAAGATTCATTTCACCTCCAATACGGTGTAGCTTACCGGTCAATCAATTTGAACATCCGTTTGAGTACATTGAACAGGACTCCGCCTCCTTCAATCTTCCATGCTTCATCTTCTTGGCCCTCTGGGAGGTCTAAAACTTTTTGCATCTGTTTGTACAGTTTATACAGGATATAGAAGTTCATGAGACCTAACAAGATGAGAAAAGCGGCACTGACGGACGTGCCAATAATTCCGCCGACAGTACTAAAGCTGTCAAAGCGGGACGACACGGCGGCTGCAGTGGCAGCCACAACGATAGATGTGACGATGACAATGCTAATAGTTCGTCAGTCCTGTCAATGGGGATTAAGGGAACAAGAGCACGTACGTTGAGTGACCCAGGGAGAAAAAGGTTCCCACGGTGACCGGTTTTTGGCCCGTGGCTAGCAGCCTACGCGTCATCAAATCGATAGCCTGGCATCATATATTAGATGAGTTATATATACACAGGACAGGGCACATACTGAGATATGATCAGCATCAAAGGCATGCCTCAACCCTAAGGTGTACGCAAGAACGGCATTAGAGACCAGAGACCTATCGCATTGTCAGTATTAACCAGGTTCTTCCATATAGCACAGATATCAAGCTCCTAGTTGATCAGGACGACATACGGATAGTAACGCTGAGACATATGTTAGCGAATATCCTAGTGTAGACCTCCAAGTTCAATGACCTTCGCTATGACATCGGGAGTAACATACCAGAACAACAGCAACCGCAATCCATACCGCGATATTGATGAATGCAATGAATAATATGATAGCAAGAGCAGGAAAAGGGATTTTGCGAACTCCCGGTATGCGACTATGGGAGCGCTCTGCATGTCGAATGAGTGATTTCGGCGTCCATTTGCTCTTTGTCTCGACCCCCTGGGAGTCTGACATGGCCTCCGAGAAGCTGGGAGGAGACGTTTCCCGCATGATGAAGAATCTGAATTGACAAGATTGGTTCTCACGGGCGGTTGTAATATCCCGTCTCCTTCACTATATAGTTAGTCTACCCAGGGTTTAAAATTCTGTGTCTGTGTCGCGTGTTGCGTGAGGGTGGTGGATGAATCTTTATTCCATATGTGGGGTAGGAAGAAAAGTGATAGATAAGAGTAGTTAACTAACTTAAGACTTATTATTAATAATGATAGCTACTACGTAGTTAATGGTGGAGCTAGGAAAGAAAAAGCAAACGAGCCAAGCGAACTGGACGAAGTCGATCTGAGCAAATTAAAGCTTGTTTCCTCGCTTGTGGCCGAGTTCCATTCTTCGAATCCCTTGCGCTTCACACGGTGTTCCGATGGTTTCCGACCTTGAATCAGCGGTGTGGGAGAAGGAGAAGAATGGCCTATGAATGCGATATGACAGGCGAATAATATACTTCTGAGTACGGCCATTGCATTTTTTTTTTTTTGACAATCTCAGCCCATCACAATGTGCAGAATTCATATGCAATCATCAATGTGACGGCCGACGACTGCCGATGCCCCACTACTTCCACCCCTCTCGGCATAAACCGTCAAGTCGGAGGCTACCGATGTGACCCTACTCCACTACTTACGCAAAAGTCGTGATAACAAATGCTTCGAAATGTGTCAATTGGATTTTTAAACCTACGGACACGTCGTTTTGTGTGGCCATTCGGCAGTCTTTACCGTGCATCGCCCCTCTTTTATCCTTTGGCGAGATGGTATGTTGAGACGAACCGATTCCAGATATCACTCTGGGAAGTGCGGGCTTACTTCAACGTGTCAACGACGTGAAGAACGGTATCCTCTGAAGTGTTCATACTCGTACTCTATAAGGTTGAGTTATGGCGTTGGTCACTAAGGCCGAGTTGGCCGGTTCGCCGATATCTTCGGGCCAGATCCACTTGGGATTTAATCGGCATGTTTGGCGGATGATGAATGGTTACGAACCATCTCGGAATGTTCTAGCCGCAACGAAGCAGAACACCCTACAGTCTTTCGACTCGGGAGTAGGAAAGTAAGGGTTAAGCATGTGATGCCAACCGACATCTAGCTCTCCATTCCCCAAATCAAGCGGCGGCGAGAACAGTTGGCGACGGTGTCCATTTGGTGACGGTGGGCTTAGTCTGTTGCAGATTGGAATTGAGTATGTTCCACTCGTTCCTCGTAATCGGGGTAACATCAGAAGCAGATTGTGGGGTCTTGGGTCCCCGCTTTGCCGGAACAGCCCTATATCTCGGGGGATTGGCCTCCATGCGCGCCCGAACGGTGCGCTTCGGGGAGTTCCGGCTGCTATGCTCAGCCCGTGCCCGCGGCGGCAAGATAATCCCTTCCTGGCCGAATTGTTTCTTATAAGTTTGGGCAATGTGGGTCAGGAGTTCATCTCGCACGTCGAGCTGTTCATATACACGGTGGAAGAATGCTTTACTGAACGGGCGACCCTGAAAATCCCCAATGGTACGATGCAGGAGCTGCACGCAGGATGTGACGCAGGACGCTTCGGGATTTTTGCCTTGATTGGAAAGGATGCACAGCCGGCGTTTGAATGTGTAGATTCGGTCTACATTGAGCAGCGTGAGGCCTTCTCGGCTGAAAATGACCTCGTTCTGCATAATCGACTGTTGGACCAGGTACTCGTTGGCCTGGCGCTCGTATTGACTGCGGTTTAGGGCGTCGGTCCAGCTCTGACCCAGTGAGAACTTGCTGGCGGCTTTGACCACGGCGCGGTAGACGGTGCGCCAAGTTTGTTGGTCAAGCTCCTCGATGGGAATTACCATAAGGTCGGATGGTTCGCCGGTGGGATATGGCTTTCCACGACCCACTAGCAACGTGGCATGCATCATCTTCTGTTCGAGCTTGTAGGAGATGTACTCGAGGGCGGGGAGAATTGAAGGAGGAAGAGTCTCCGAGTCAAAGGTAAAGTCAGGAGAAAGGGGGCTAGAGATCATATCGGTTGTAAGACTGCGAGCAGGAGAAGTAGGCACGTAAACACCCGTTGGACGTGGTAGACGAATCACACCCATGGTGGATTCCTGACAAAAGAGCAGATGGTGTATAGAATAAGACCGTTCAGAATGAGTAACGTGGTTCTAAACCACGGACAACCCCAGGTTATTCTCTGGAGGGTCTGGTGATAAAAAAAAAAATAAGAGGCGAGGATGGAAGGCCTGGGGAAACCCATCAAGACCTTATTATATTTCCCTCATCATGCCAAATGGGATGGACTAAAAGAGGGGAAGGTATTATTGTCATGAGAGTCAACACACCAAATTTCTCTAAATTGAGCGTTCTAATCATAGCAAATTGTTGCAGCAATCAGATTGGATTCCAAGGGAACGGAAGCCAATACATTGGCCCCATCACGATAACCTTAAGCGCCGACTGTGATGACTTTACGACAACCTGCAGATAGTCACCCACTAGCATTGCAGGATCAGCATATCTCCCAAGTATGATTGGCTGAATGGATCCGAAAATAGCACCAATTAACCATTTATTTTCCTGTTAAATTCAGAGTCATTGGAGGGTGGTTCGCACTAAATGTTCTAAAAATGGATAACCCTAACAGCGTCCTCATTGAATTCGGATACAACCATCACATAGCACAATCGATTAGAGAACATTCACCTAATTACCCCAGCACCAACACGTCCACTACGAGTCGTACCCCTCTTTCAACGAACTTACCCACTCTCGACCGTATAGCCAAGTCCAAGTGGTTTCCATCTCGCCCGAAGATTGGAGCCAAAGTTCATTGCACCCCGCCCAAGGTCGACTCAACGGTAATTCCACTCCAATAATCATCTAACGCGTTGCTACTGCGATATGCACCTGCAGTCGTACCCAGCCTTAGGGTAAGCACTTGCAGAAACTATTGAAATCCTGCATATGCCCGGCGGTTGACGTCTGGTTCTGGAAGCAAGCTCAAATTTAGTGTTCAAGTTAGCTTGCGCTATTATCGCCGGTCACTGATCTTCTTGGGAATAATGGTGTGTACCCCGCTTTGAGTGATTTTTGTTTCCTAGCGAAGGAACACTTGTGGCGTAATCAACTGTACAGTTGGCCTCGATTCATGATGACTTCACTTTCCTCTTTCCAAGGTTTGCATACAGGAACTTCTACGGGATATGGTTGATTGATTTCGTTATTCCCTTCGTCCCCATAACTAGTAATATCTTAACTGTATCTATCAGTCTTACGTGTAGATGTCGGATGGAATTGTTGGCGCTATTCTACTTTGACCTGTCGTGCTCACGCTAGGTATTCCCACCCCATAAATCTTCTATTTCTTAGTATTTTTATGTATATACTGCATGTCCGTGGTCTTGGATTCCTAATGGCCAACCCCATGGCTTGCAAGATTAACCGTGGACATATACCGTCATTAGATTCGATCTCGGCACAGTATTCACTTACCCCTTAAGCAACTATACATCATGGCTTGAGTGGGGAGTTGTTTGAGCCTAGATCTGAGAAGTAATAGAACTAGCTAAATTATAGATTATATATAAGATCCAGCTGCCTCTATTTATAATTCCTGATAAGATATCTCAGAAGTCTTATACTTTATTCCAGCCTTCACTATTCTTATATTAGTAAAATCTTCTTCAGAAGAGAAGTCGATAGAACACTTAACTATACAGTCTAATAAATCCCACTTCTCTAAATATCTTTCAGTATACATAAATAATCAAATATATACAATTATCTTACCCTATATAAGTTAAAACAAAGATACACTATTAGATATGATCATATGCCCTAGAATATATATCAAAGATAGAAGATAATCTAAACACTATTGTTATTATTATTTAATCAAGTTTATTGTCCATATAGAGCCAATCAGCTACGGCAGACACATGTATCTAGGCAGTGATCTAGACCACTGCATCTAGTATCACAGATTCTATGATGACTGTGTATGATGACCTTGCAGTATACCCTGTCCCTGGTGCATAGACAATCTGGTGGCCGAACGGCAACGTCGGAGTCTATACTCGTTGCCTTTGAAAGGACGTATAGTAACCTACAGGCCTATCTGATCCCATGCGAAGGACCGGGAATCACCTTGGCTATAAATTAGCACTTTGTTAGTGGTAGAAGAAAGCAAGAATCAGTCTTCTGTCTACACAGTATCTACTGTCTGCCTTTCTGCCTACGTACCTTACCTAGTTGACAGGTCTTCTACCCGGAATAGTAGATATTTCCTTGACATCTAGGTTGTCCCTAGAGGCTCTACCAGTCCCATCTATTCTTTGTATATTCGTTCTGGTCTTTTTTCCTATCTAATCTGCCTATCTGTGCCAGGGCCTTTGGGCTATATTCTTCTCGGTATTTATTATCTATTAAATATTTCCTAGGTTTATCTAGATCATCTCTTGTACTATTCGTTTTTCTCTACTTTCTACTTTTTCTACTACTCCTAGATTTCCTAGATTATTTCTAGAAATCCTATCTATCTCTCTGGTAGCCACTCGACTTGGCTCGACTCAGAGGGAGAAAGCCCGCCGACCAGGTTACTGTGATGACGGGAGCTGATATCTAAGCGTGCCGCTCTAGCCAGCCTTCATGCTATACCGTACGGGTTGATTGATAACACCTCTAACCACTAATTCGGAACGTTCCGCGTAATAGCCCCATCAGGTGCCTTAGTCGGCGACTACGAAGCGCATGAGCTGCGCGTCGGCAGCGCAACCGAATACAGCGGAATCAGCGTATAGCAAGCTGTCGCGAACGTAGAGAAGCTCCAGAGCCTATCAGTAGACCATGAAGAAACCTAATTAGAAAATATAGGTACATTGCCGGCCTTCAAAAGAAGAAATTTTTGTCCATTTTCTCTAATTATAGACGCCTGAATTATTAATCATTCGAGTTGATATTGATGTCGGAAAACAATACGATATGATTTCGCAGGGATTTGAACTTTCGTAGTGGGACGTCTATGACGAACATCGCATAGTCTCGCTCTTCCAGGCTTCCAAGTCCTCCGTGGTGGTCTTGAGATCTGCTTCTAGTAGAGCAATTGTTTCAGTACCCATCAACAACCGCCTCGGCAGCGCTCGCTGGGCCTGTCCTGTGACAGCGTCGAAGAGCACTCTAGCGCACTGCGCTGGTGTCGAGAACGTCTCCTGGACTACAGGATTCATCATATATGCTAGCAACTGATTTAACGGGGAAGCAGGGGTATCATAGGCAGGATGGCGAGTGGCAAACTTGACATTCGAACCAAAGTTTGTCTTGATCCCTCCAGGGGCAGCCACCACGAATTTGATATTCCAAGCAGGATTCATCTCCTTGGCAAACGACTCAGTAAAGCCGCCGAGGGCGAACTTGCTATTAAGCTTTTAGCAACAGAAACAAAAAAAATTTAGAGAAACATAATGGTTTCACAGCGGTAATAGAAAATAAGCTGAATTATGAAGCCAGATTGAACCTACCTAGCATGATAAAATGCACTGCCGGGAAATGTTACGAGTCCACCAATGGAAGATACCTGCACCACAGTGCCACCCTGGCCTGGAGGGTTCACCTCTCGAAATATATGAACTGCCTGTTGTGTAAGAAAGACCGGACCCCAAAACAGAGTTTCCATCTGAAGACGGGCATCTGACTCCGGCACGGTTTCGGTGTCACCCATCACAGCGTACCCGGCATTGTTGACTAATATGTCAATGCGGCCAAACCTCTCTACCGCAGTAGACAAGGACCGCATGATATCACTCTTCGAGGTGACATCCAGGCCGAGTTTGAGAACACGAGGCCCCTCTGGTAGGTAAGACAGCGATGCAGCATTGCGAGCAGTGGCCACGACGTGATGGCCGGCTTGGAAGGCAGTCTCGACCAATGATTTCCCAACCCCAGACGAGCAGCCGGTGACTGGCTCGTGGAATTATGAGGTTAGAAATTAATATCCTTCGAAATATCGGGTCTTTACGTACTAAACCAAACGGTGTGAGAGTCCATCATTGTAACGTACGGGGAAACCGTTTGTCTCCTGTAGGCTCGATACGTATCCAAGTGCATTACTGAGTATAATCAAAAGCGGAAACAACGCTATATATCTTTCGCCAACCGAATATTGGGGTGCCTGTCCATTCTTCGAGGACATCAGTTTAGACGGAGTTAACGGAGTTTGCATGATAATGCAGCAGTTTAACTGCGTGGCTTTTGCGGAGTATGAGGAACGGGTCGGCGATTGCCAAGGTCAGCATAAGCGTGAGTGACTAGGAGAGTAAAACTAAAATATTTCAATGGAATGGAAGGCAATCGTAGTTGCACTGGAATTATCCATAGATTGACGCAGGCAGTCCTGTCGGTTCGGCAACCTACGTAACCTGTTTCCGATCGGCCGAGGAGACTTTCTTCATCGGCCGATGGGCGGAGGTTAGTCAAATCCCACGTCATTCGTTTAGTGGGTTGATCATCAATGAAGAGATCATGACAAATAGGGCACTTAGGCTAGTATAATATTACAAATTCTTGGTGTACGCAACACATAGACTATGTAGAGTTGGGGTTTAAAATGCGCGAAGTTCTCATTGCATGAAACCCCGGTTCTTATCCTTACCAAAGACAACATATGAAGATAATTGATATTGCTACAAGATATTTCCATAATGTCCTTACCTAAGACCTATCAGGCCTTTCGACGTTCCCCAGGAAAGGAGGCCGGAACCATCCGCGCAACAGTCGAACAGGTTCCGCCACTCCATCTGCAGCAAGTCCTCATTCGAGTGCATGCTGTGTCCCTGAACTACAGAGATGTGGGGATGCTCCATGGCAAGTACCCAGTGCCCGTGAAAGAAGGAGGCATTCCTGCATCTGACTGCGCTGGAGAGGTGGTGGCGATTGGGTCTGCGGTAACAAGGGTCTCTGTTGGAGACCGTGTGTCCCCAATCTTCGACTTGAAGTTTATCGATGAGCCGGATCCTGAAGATGCAGTGGCCCAGCTTGGCGGTAATGTCGACGGCGTGCTGCGACAGTATGCAGTATTCGACGAGAAAGTGCTCGTTTGTATCCCGCAACATCTTTCCTGGGAAGAGGTACAGCTGAGAGTCTTATATGGCATCGTTGATCTTCTAGGGTGGACTAACACTTCTGTTAGGCGGCGTGTATCACTTGTGCCGGGACTACGGCTTGGAATTCTTTGGGGATGGCAGGGTCCTTGGACCGGAGACGATCTGCCTTGATGCTAGGTAATGCATACCCTCGATGGGCGCGGTCTTGAAAAGAGAAATCTAATACGTGGGTGATGGCAACATAGGCACAGGGGGTGTCAGTATGTTTGCACTCCTGATATGCTTGGGTGCTGGCATTCGTCCAATCATCACCTCCTCCTCGGACGAAAAACTTCAAACTGCAGCAGCCCTGGGCAAGGAAGGGACTGTTGACGTTATTAACTATAACACTACTCCTGACTGGGAAAAGGAAGTACTGCGCTTGACCAAAGGACAAGGGGTCGATATTGTACTCGAAACTGTAGGGGGCAGTAGCATCGAGAAAAGTGTTAAATCCCTGGCTACCCGTGGTCTTATATCTTGGGTCGGGTTTCTAGGTGGTCTGGAGCTGGATAAGTTCGTTGATGCTTTGGGAAGCCTATTCTTGAAAGTAGGAACATTGAAGTAAGTCCTTTGCCCGAGTGATAACTAGGGTTGCTACTAATAGTCTTTCGCTAGGGCAATTCAAGTCGGCTCAAAAGCTGACCAAGAGGGCCTCTGCCGGTTTCTTGAAGAAAAGGAGATCTCACTGAAGCAAATCATTGGCAAAATATTTGAATTCAAGGATGCTCCTGCAGCTTTCGATTATGTCTACTCGGGACAACAAACAGGGAAGGTTGTTATAAGAATTTGATCAATGGTATTCTGTTATATATAGTGTTGATGTTCCTTTTACTTTGTTGGTTTTTTTTTTTTTTTTTTTTTTTTTTTTTTTTTTTTTTTTTTTTTTTTTTTTTTTTTTTCTAATTTTAACTCTTCTCTTGGTCCTGCAACTTACCACTGTGTCATACATTATCCTGTACTCAACAAAACGATCTCTACTGAGTGTTTTTGAGACCCGAAATATGGAAAACACGCTTAGACTGCATTCACTCTGCCTCATGGCGGTGGGGATCTTGAAAAGAAACTAATTAATATAAGTAGATCTATCCAATCTTGAAATCTACGTGAGCGAGCAGCTTTCCATTGTAGATAATAGAATGCAACTATTAACACACATACACAGGGATGGATATAAGACAAGTTGATTTACGAACCGACCATATGAGGGTTCATAATTCATAGCTATGCACTGGTAACAAAGGTTTTCGACCTGGCCATACCGTGAAAAACGGTTGTAGAAACGAATATAAGGACTAGCTTAGTTAGCCCACGGGATTTCGGTGAGTATTGAACTATAGATATATAACATATATATAGACGGGTATTTGAAGACAGAATAGTGCATTAGTCAAGAGGAACTACTGTAGATTATCTTGAAGAAATCCGACTATTTCATTGCAAATCTGGACAACTTTTCAAAGCAATGAAACACTAGGACACTAATCTCAAGCGCAATACTAATGTAGAGAGGAGACTCAAAACCAAATTAAATTTCTTATATATCACCGTATTTATTCAGCTTCGCCAAGATGTTTCTTGAGGAATGGAAGCACCTGTTCAAGCGCGGGCTGAACAGCCTCGGGTTTATCATACAGGTTATAGTGCGAGATACCCGGAAGAACAACAATCTGCTTTTCCTTCGAGCCGGCGCGACCGTAGACCTCCTGAGCGTCGCGGTAGGCGCCGAAGCCACCGGGTTTGTCTCCGATAACAACCATAAAGGGTCGGGTCAAGAGTACTTCTGCGTGGTTGAAGGCATCCCATGCAAGAGCAGCACTGTTGAATGAGAACAAGCCGCTCGTGGTACCATTGGGAGCCTGGCCACGAGAAGTCTTGTAGTAATCGGTAGCCTCGATAACATCAATATCAGTGGTCGCCTTCTGAGCCTCGGCGACTGTCGGGGGAAGGTAGTTTAGAACAAAGCGCTCGCTACCTTGGGCCTCAAGAGTACGTTGATCGGCCATCTTCTCTAGAGAGCCAGCCGGATTATATTCGCCAAAGGCCTCGCGGGTAAGGCGGCCGAAATTAACTGGTGTAATGCCAACACAGCACTTCAAGCGATAATCTGTCATGGCTGCATTGATCGCGTAGCCGCCACCGCCGCAGATTCCAAGAACACCAATACGCTTGGGGTCGACATACGGAAGTGTCTGGATATAGTCGATCACAAAGCGGAAGTCGGAAACACGAAACTCAGGATTCTCTGTGAAGCGAGGCTGGCCACCAGAGGCACCCTGGAAAGAAGCATCGAAGGCAACAACCACGAAGCCAGCATCGGCCATTGCTTTACCGTAGACATTGCCAGAGGTTTGCTCCTTGCAGGAACCGATTGGGTGTGCTGATACAACAGCAGGATACTTCTTTTTCTCGTCAAAGGCAGGCGGGAAGTGGATGTTGGCGGCGGTCTCCCAAGCGATATTTGGAATGCTAACTGCCTTGATTGTCTGAGACATTGTCGGAATTGCCTTGATAGGGGTGTTGGCTTTTGTGTCCACTACCTTTGAACCTAATATGGGAGTGATGTGGGTGGAAAAGGAGCGGGGGGGCGAGAGTTTGGCTCTCCTTATAGTTCAGCATTCGAGAGTTTGGCGGGTCATCGGCTATCGCTGCTCCTTCGGCCGAAAACATGCTTGTTCACGAATCACACTATCTTATCGCCGATATATCGGACCGAATAAGCAGGTCGGCCGAAATACGAGCGATGTTTTACTTCTGCTTACTCTAGTAATAACTAACTCAACTCTCAACCACTGTCGGGAATTAGTTAATGCGCCTGCGATACTCCGTATAGAGTTCAATCAAATGTGGTTGTCTGCTGACTACGTCATCATTTGAGTTAATCGCTCTCCCATTAGAGTACCTTCGGCCGATGAGCATTTCAGTGTCAGCTCAACAGGTTGGTTACCATCATGTCGAAATTATAAGTAGTCAGGCAGGCTCACATCAATCACTTCAATAATCACTTCCATTACTTCTACATATCAGCTACCATATTTCTGGATATTTAATAATATCTATAATGTCTGCAATCAGTATTCCGAAAGGCCCTATCAACCTGGCCGGCCTTCTCTTCCAGCCCTCTACCCAGACTGCTACCAAGACATCCGCCCTGATAATTGTCCATCCCGGTGGCGGTGTCAAGGAACAGACCGCCCAACTATACGCAAAGAAACTGGCGAACGCCGGTTTCACAACTGTCGCCTACGATGCGTCCTACCAGGGCGCCAGTGGCGGAGAACCCCACTTCCTCGAAGACCCGAACGAGCGCGTGAGCGATATCTACGCCGTGATCGATTACCTCCAAAACCTCGATAATGTCGACTCCGAGAAGATTGGTGTCTTGGGTATCTGTGCTGGGGGTGGTTATGCAGCCGCAGCGGCCAAGGGAGACCATCGGTTGAAGGCCTTGGCTACGGTTAGTATGGTCAACATCGGAGATTCCGCTCGCAAGGGCTGGGATGGAGATGAGGACCCTTCGAAGCATGTCGAGGCACTTCGTGCCACTGCAGCCCAGATTACCGCCGAAGCCAAAGGTGCCGAGCGCGCCGCCGCACCCTACGTGCCCCCACAGCCTGACAACACAACCCCGAGGGACATGCGAGAGGCTAGCGACTATTACCTTACCCCACGTGCACAGCATCCCCGCGCCCAGAATAAAATGCTGTACCTCAGCTTCCCGCGGGTGCTTACTTTCGACGCCTTCCACCTGGCGGACGTGTTCCTGAAGCAGCCCGTCCTGCTCATCGCTGGTGACAAGGCGGGATCTCTCTGGCATACCGAGCGATTGGATAAGCTGATTGGTGGTGCAGCAAAGAAAGTCATTGTTCCAAACGGAGCGCACATGGACTTTTATGATAACGAGGCTTATGTCGGGCCAGCCGCTCAGAATGTTGCTGAGTTCATGAATCAGCATCTCGTCTAGTGGCTCTGCGGTGTTCTATAGAGTACTTTATAGCAATGTAATGAAATTCATATATACAATAACTTAGCACATATACAAAAGTACCCTGAATGAGGACGTCTAACTGGAAATGATCTTCGGAGTCTTTAGGGCTGTGTCTTTGGAATACCTGACGAGGTCTGATGTGTGACAGCATATCTACAGCAGTAAAAGCATCGGCCAATCTAACAGTCGACTATGCTCCAACAATCGGGAGCCCCCAATTCAACGACCAGTGAGAGTTAGCAGCCTTGATAGTTAACAATTGATTTACTAATGGCATAGTTGCCCAGCACGGCGACCACTGGAATCCCTACAGCGCGTGTTTATCATATCATGCCTTTAAAGAACTGTTTACATTGCTTTCAGTCTACAGATCATAACAAAGTACCAATGCAAGTATTAGGCGGGAGATTTGAAACGTTTCGAGGACCTATCCAGGACTGCAAAAGAATTGCGTATCTTATGCTTTCCTTTATTGCTGTGTGAAATTCCTCTGTTCTTAATCGAAAAGCACCATATTATAAGCGTGGTTAAAAACGAAAAAAAAAGAAAAGAATAGAAAAAGAAAAGAAAAAGAAAAAGACAAATAATGGATGGTTTCCTGGAAGAATATTAGTTACACTTGGTACGAGTAGCGAAGAACAGTGGATTTGCTAGTAATGAGATTCTAAAGCTATCGAGAGCCGGCCCTGATATTGTTGCGATCCAAGTCTTTCTCTCCCGAATACGACCACCCCAGCTGTGGGATATTGATGAGTACTGTACTTAGTTGAAAAAGCATATTGCTATTGAGCTCAGATAACCCGTTACTTGTCGAAATTGGTGGGGTACTAAAGAATTGTTGTTATAGACTTCCTAACAACGAGTATTACAAGGTAGACAATGACTATCTTTATCTACTTCTTTGGGGTAGTTTCACTTTCTGGTATATATTTCTATACTTCTACTCCTGAAAGTAGAAGTTCTTCGAATGGCTTACATACCAACAACTCGACACCTAAGCATACCTTGTTTGTTGAAACAGAGGCTGAGCCCGGGGCGCCACCGTATCTTTGAATCTTTCTCATGAGATCTCCCGGGTTTGGTCCTCGCGAACAGGGTCAAGCAACTACGACACCGTAAGTGATGACCTTGAAAGTAAACCAGCCACATACGTACCGAACTATGACCAATTTGGGGAAGAGCTTCAACTAAGTGATTCAGATACAGATGATCAATTTCCAAGAGCCCTAGGCTTTGAACTAAAAGAGGGCTTGTGTATGTACGAATTTCATGACTTAAAAAGTTATGAGAGAATCTCAACAATTGTCAATCATTTTCTCTGGAATATAGGTATGATTATTACAAAATATCAGAGAGTAATGGAAGGATTATCGCAGGAGGCGTGGCTCAATCTACTACTAGTAGATGGACTCCTTGGATATTCGTCATCATCTGGCATTCTGTGAGGTTGATGCAATGTTGGGTCTGTTCCTGGGGCCGGTTAGTCAAGGCCTCGAGGTCAGAGCTTCGAGGGGGATAATCCCGTCTGCGTTTAGTGTCTCTCAGCTGATACTCTTTGGAAGTTAGGTCTGTGGAAGACGTTTGATTCTCGAATCATCAATCAAGCTCTGTTTAACATTTCATAGCCTCATGGGCGACACACTAGTAGGGCGAAGAAGTGCCTGTCGAAATGGTCAAAGCTGTGATCTGTGTTGAGGTTAAGTTTTAGGACAAGATTCATCTCCAGTCCGACGATTCAGTACTCTGCTATGAACAGTTGCGTTGTAGCTGGTCATTTTGGAGAAATAAGCGCCAGGTTAGGTGGCTTTCCAAGGTAGTTAGGACAGCGTATTTGTACCTGTGGTAAGTGCGTAGACTCTATGTCCTGAAGTTATGTGATAGCCCGTCCAGCTAGAGAAATGCAATTCAACAATGGCCACCTTCCCTGATTGTTGTACCACAACGCTCTGTGGGGACAACTGTAGTATTAAATCATTCTCGTCTGGTGCAAGACCTGTAGTGTATGCGTCACTGAAGCCGTGCTACGCTAGTGAATACTTTGGCAGTGTTAAAGCGGCGGGCTAAAACAGCGGGAGGGGCTGCACACAATGCTTAGGGTTTGCTACTGCCTACTACTAGTAGTAGTACAAGGCTTACTGCAGAACCTGCATTCATAGAGTCCCGAATAAATTCCCGAAATACCCAAGCTTCTTCCGGCAAGGGCATTCTGGTACCTCAACACATGATAGTCTGCTCTGAAGCTAGTAGGGTCATGTCTCACCGAAGTCGCCCAATTCTCGGAGAAACTCAATGTACTTCTCTAGCTCTAACTGGGACAAGCGATGGGCCATGAAGGAAGATACAAACCCTTATCTACTTTGCTTATTATAGCTGCTATCTTTGAATTACTAGACCAAGTACGGTATCATGTGACACTGTCGTGCTACCAGGCAATGAGGAGGACAATGTCACGAGGATAAAAATAGTACTGAAGCCAATTAGTACATAAACAGCCAAGAGCTATACAGAGACCTGCTCTTGGGGAGGGGTTTTCGGGAGTTCTCCTGACGCTAGAAGGTTGCCCTTGGCTAGCATTAGGGTTACCCCGGGCGTTAGTTGACGGGATTCAGGTTGTTCATATAACTATAATCTTGTTCTTAGCTGCATTACTGGAGTGCCAGTGTCAGGCAACCCGTCCTATCTTAATCTAGCCAAAGTCTAATTAAAGAGCAGTGGCTGTACATCCTTAAAGAAGGTTTGTAAAATTGACGGTTGGGCTTCCAAGATGAGGGAAATAAAGCGTTCTTCGCTCTGTACCAATCATGGCATCCGCACCAATTGACTAATGTACAAGGAAACGCTCACTAGTACTAGTAGTATGGATGTATTCTCGCTAGATTGTTGAACCTATCATCCTGCCGGATACCCCTCTCTTGGCATAACCTCCGGTTTTACAGTAGCTTCTATGCCCGCTCTCCTTCCGCTGCTAAACAACATTCCTATTGGGCGGAGAGATATCAATAGTGATAAGGATCATTGTCTACCCATTTATATATACTTTGACCTTTGAACTTGGCGAGATCTTGGTCAAGGAAAAGATACTCTTGGGTTACATACATACATACAAGCGACAAGCCCCGACATTCCGAGACATGGACTGTGCATAGTCTGGGGAAGATAAGCTGTCGGTTAACTAATGGGGTTTTTGTTACCTAACACATTCGGCTATAAGGAAACACTAAGAAGGTGAATTTCAGTAATGGGTCGACTGTCAAGGAATCAGCTAACCCCCACTCGGGTGATGGGCAATGCTATCGGTAAGTTTCTTTTTTGTCTTGATTCATGTTGAGGGTCTTTTTTGGATTGAAAGTTCCGGAATACTAATACGTTTGCTTCAACGAGAGACATCTCTGAACACTTGATTTTAAGATGGTCTGCGCCGGGTGACTATCACCTATTCAGTTTAATACCCCCCGGTTAAGGTTCCTTCAAGCTGATCCTGCACATGGCTTTTTTTTTTTTTTTTTTTTAAACTATTCTAGAAGCAGAGATAAGCGACAACCCGCTATGATTGGCGAGTCAAGGCCTGGGAGATAAACACAGAGATAGCAGCTCTTGGCGAGCCACTAAGTTGATAGCGGACTTCATTGCGGCCCAACCTTTCTTCTCTTCCCACTCATTTAGTTTTGTGCGTGTGTGTGGATACATGGAAAGGTACCAACGAGGTGAATATGCGAAGACTTGTCCGCGGTAAACTGGTCGCCACTGACTATTGGCATCGCTACGATTCGTTCGGGTGGGTTTTTCACCAACCCTAGTGATGGTCTAAAAGCGTCATTCCAGCCACAGACCGCAAAGCCAAGGCGTGCCAAGGACCAAGCGTCCCAATGGTCGATGCTTACAAGTTACCGGGGAGGTTGATGGCCCCTCAACTTGCTTGTTTTCCGACCCGCTCGCTTTGCTTCGGCTACGGAAAGAACTGCTTATCCACGCGAGCGGTGTTACTTCCTGGTTAGACTGAGATATGGAAAGCTACGGTAGTATCGATGAGGTGAATCTTACACTCATGCAATATACACGGGTCTCAATCTCCGCTTGGGTATCTCGCATGCTTGTTTTATTTAATCTATTGTTATTTTATTTTATTTATTTATTTTCTTTTTTCTACTAATTATCATTTTATAGCATGAAACTCTTAAGATATGCATTAATAGCTACCACAAGTATTGGCAGTTGTATGGAATTTATATTGGGGCCAAAGTACCAAAAAAAAAATCATCAGAAAAACTCAACTCGGGATGGATCGTATAAGACGCCCGAAGTCGAGACTTCGGTGTACACATGGACAAAATATCTACCCCGGACGGGGCAAGCGATTCCATGACTAACAGAAAAGGCTAATCTTATATTTCCCCGGGGTGTGGAGAATTCGAGTCAGAAATGTGTGCCTCGTGTCAATGATGCCAAGACTATCCGCTTTTGACTCCATCTTGGCAAACAAAACCAACCAATTGATACTCAATCAGGTAACAGCTCCTCATGATCAGTCGGACGAGTCTAACCTCTTCCATCCAAAGTTCGATGAGCCTCCAAGAACGGCGGGAAATTACTGCCGGCAAACCAATCAAGACCTGCAAGTTCTACGAATATTTCACGCGGGGGATCCTGACTTGGGTCTATCATCTCCTGTTTGGGAGAGACAGTACACCGTTCGGATGGGGCAATGCAATATACAATAGGTAATATTTATTCTTCCAGTAATATCAATTATACTTTCTGCTATCGAGCTACAATCTTAGCTTATCTTTTTTTTATTTTTCATGCCGTCCAAATTGGAATCCCTGTGCCTTAGAGCCTCGGCCACCCCGATGTGATCTGTGGTGTTTGATCTTACTATTTAACCTATTCCCCCGCCTGTGTTTTCATTTTCTTCCCCCTTCTGTCGTCGGCTTCTTCTCGCCTCTCCTACTACGTATACAATCCTTTTTCCCTCGGGATCTGATTTCTCCTTTCAGAGGGCTTGAATAAAGTGAGAGAAGATACAGTATTCCGTTTAAGTAGTGGGAGTACCTGCCGCTAGTGAAGCGGGCTTCGTTCCTGAGCCCCCCCGCAGCCTTCTGCCCACTATCCGAGCGCATTCGGTACAATGGGCTTCCTCGGAGAAAAGAACGATGGCATCTCGCCGGAGATGAATAGAGAATTGTCCCGCGACATCACCAAAGCTGAGGAGGGTATTGTCGCGGAAGAGCACCATGTCGACCTCCACCGGGACCTCAAGGCCCGTCATATTACTATGATTGGTACGGTGCTATGCTTGGATTCGTTGGCTGAGCGCGAAGAGCTAACAGGGAACAGCCATCGGAGGTGCTATCGGTACAGGTCTTATTATTGGAACGGGAGAAGCTCTTGCAAAGTAAGTCTTTCCCAGAATCTATGAAACACGGATCGAGAATGCTAATGCGCGATTCACTTTAAGGGCTGGCGTAAGTTGCGATCGTCTTAATGTTACTCGCGAAATTGCTATCTAACTTTCGATTAGCCTGCAGCAATCCTAATTTCCTATTCCGTTGTCGGTCTTGTCGTCTATACTGTCATGTGCGGCCTGGGAGAAATGGCCGCCTGGCTGCCCTTGTCTTCTGGCTTTACTGGCTACGCTGTTCGATTCTGTGACCCGGCTCTTGGATTTGCTCTTGGATGGACGTAAGTGATACGTTTAAGCCCTAGGAACTGTGGACACTGACGAATGCTTTTCTCGATAGATATTGGTTTAAATATATTATTCTCACACCGAATCAATTAACAGCTGGCGCGATGGTCATACAATATTGGATACCGACAGAAAGAGTTAACGCAGGCGTTTGGATTACAGTATTCCTTGTGATCATTGTTTGCATTAACTATTTCGGTGTCAGGTTCTTCGGTGAATTTGAGTTTTGGCTGTCGTCCTTCAAGGTGATAGTCATCCTCGGCATCATCTTGCTCTCTTTCATTCTGATGCTGGGAGGTGGACCCGATCACGACCGGAAAGGATTCCGCTACTGGAAGAGCCCTGGCGCCTTTAATACATATATCGCT